CACTTCTTAATTCGTGGTTTCATCACTGGTTTCAGGCGATTTCTTATTAAGCTCTTGGTGGAACGCTGTCTAAATTTATGTCTCGATTTCACACAAAAAAATGGATACGGACGGGCCCACCTTTAAATAATCAGAAACAGTTTTGTATAATGCAATTAGGTTTTGACGTTGTCAGTGGTCAGCGAACAACAAAATCTTGACCCGAAGCCAAACCAGTAATAAGACCGAAGTTTCACATCTTCTTATCTGTGACGTGAGCTAGCAATGGAAACTGTTGGTTGGGTACCATACAGCATACTTTATGTTCGTAATAGACTGGATGTTCGTAATAGACTGGTGCCTTGTATTCCTTCGTCCATTAATGCGCATAGCAGCCGGCCGAGTTCACTTTTCACGTACGTTTTTTTTATACACGTTCATGTCAGCAACTTGTTTTCACAATCATTATATTTTGTGAGTAATCTGACCCGGAGAATTAAGAAATAAATCGCGTACGGCTGTTCACAATGGAACCAGCTATAGTATCGTTTGGGTTCGCTAACTACAAAGTAGACAAACAGAAAAATAAGCATTAGGCGTGGTGCACATTTTGCAAATCAAACATCAGCGAGCGCCGTGGGGGACATCGTCGAACTTTTCCAGACATTTAAAAGGAAAACATGCAAGACAGTAAGTAATAAGCCAACTTGTGCATTGTCCAAGAACGTGAATTAAGGGCTTGGTCCAAACGTTTCATACTTTAGCATAAAAAAGTTGTAACATGAATACTTGATATGGGCCCATTTTTTTTCTCAGAAAGTAGAACTGCATAGGATCTGGCATACGGTCATGATGGTCATGGAGCCCCGTATTCCCGTAATGTCAAATGTGGTGTCACCACATGTAGTAGCCCGAATTTAAAATAAAAAACTAAAGAAAATGACTTTCTCTCTTGTGTTTGTTGTTTTTATTGTATTTATTGTATAGTGTTCAAATATTTGTGACTCGAATTGACTCGAGCTAAATACTTGATTCGACTCGACTCGACTCGACCTTGTTGACCTAAAGACTCGACTCGACTTCAGTCACTTCTTTAAAATGACTCGACTCGACTCGAGTCACAAAAATCAGTGACTCGTTACAACTCTGTCACAAACATCACCAGCGATAAAACTCAGCTTAAAATTTAACAACATTTAACAAAGTCTCTTTAAATACCCAATTTGCATGAAATAATTCCATTAACCAGCCATTCTGAAACGATTGAATAAAATTGCGTCTCCTCTTGAACAGGCTTTACTAGGCTTGGCTAGTGGCGCTTGAAGAAAAGCTTCAAATTTGCTGGGTAGGAGCTTCTTGTGTCCTTTTCTAAAATTGCCAACAAAATGAGGTAAAAAGGAGGGTCACAGGACGCTGACGTTACCCTCAAATCCACAATGAATGTCATGTTGATAGAGCATATTGGAGAAAATAGACGTGAAACTTGGATATACACATTTCTATCAAGGAAACGCCACATCATTTTTGTTTTTTAGTAACGTCACACAAAACGCAGCCATTGCGTACACCACCCATAAAACTCAACAAAGGCGATACATTTGCACCCCCTACCCATGCTGTTTATATTAAATTTGGGGCGTAACATTTTTGACCACCTTTTGGGGAACAAACATTCCTCCCCCCCAAAAAAAAAACAAAAAAACAAAAAAACTGATTGTTCTGAATCCGGCTTTGATGGCTCCGTTATCTCTATAATCATCATCATCATCATCTGTTTTTTTTTTTACAAACATGTATGCCCTTGGTTAACAAATGTACCTTTCTCATTGCTGTCAAGTGTTATACATAGACAAAATGAAAATAATACTCGGAGCAAAATAATGTTTGGGGTGTTACCTGTAAACGTTGAAACCACCAGAATCCAAGCTATTGCTCCAGCCATCCTGCCTAATGCCATGAGTGTGAACTTCTGTCGATCCTATATCAAAACAAACCAACTCGAGTACTCGACTGTACTGTAACAGTCCGTTTCAATTTATTTATTTATATTTCTTTTATTTGATGTGTCCTTTCCTTTCCACCTTACAAGTAAAAGTTCCTATGCAAATGTATTTTCTTTTCCTGTGTGAATATTCAATAGCTATGTGCATTCTTAGACATTCTTCAGTTGGGTGTAGTTCTTTTGTGTTTGATTAGTTGGGTGTGTATGTGTGTGTGAGTATATAAGTGTATGGTCAGTGTGACTCCAGCCCACTCTATCACATATGAGAGCTCTATAGACACCAAGACAAATCTCCTGCTGCCTGCTGCCTGCTGCCTGCTGCCACACATTTTTCTCAGCAGAGTATTCAGACACTGATGCAGAGCAATACGTATTGGCAGAGCCGAGCCGTGTACTGCAGCAGTGCCATTGTATAGCTGTTAGCTGGGGCAATTTTGCTCCACTGTCTGCTGGTGAGCTGTAAAACCAGATACGGGGAACCTCGCTGCAAAACCGTGAGTTAGATTAATTTATTTTTTTTTCTTCTAATTTTATCTGAAGTGGTTTAATTTCTTGAAATACGTTTATTTGTTCGAAGGATTATTTTGCCTACAAAATATAGTGACTGCTTAAACTTGCATGACCTGTGTACATAAGTTATGTTGAAGATTTTGGATTATTATTATTGGGGATCGACTATGTTAATTTGACTTTTCCAGAAAGTATTACTGGGGATTTAAGCCAGTTTGGGGGCCTTCAACACCGCATGTGCATCCATTTGAAGTAGATCGGGACAGTCGCCTACTACTTGCTTGTGCCAAGACCTGACCTCGGGTACTACCACAAGGGCCAGACGAGGACTGGATTAACCACTTGACAGTTCGGCTGCTCAACTGGAAACCAGAACTGTATTGGGTTTGCATTGCTAAATACCCTGAATACATTTATTGTCATCGAGTCAAAGATAGAGTGAAGTCAAGTTAATTTGTGTCCAAGAACGAGAAAACTACTATTGTAATAAGAGTTGTTGTTGTTTTTTGTTTTTTATAAAATACAAATTAAGGAAACCGTTCAGTGTTGATTCATTTTCAATCAAAGAAAACACAGAAATGATCCCACTGGTGTAGCAACTAAAAGTTCAGTTTGTTAAAGTCAACAGAGGTGTAAATTGAGTAGTTTAACAAAAACCTAGTGTAAATAAGTCAGTGTATAGTGCACATACGTGTACTGTGTTTCAAGTATACGACTTGAAGATAATCTTGTTAATTCAAGTTCAGTGTAACACCGTTGCCATTAACGGAAGTGTAATAAGGTTTTTGTAAACAAAAAGAAACTTAAGTAATCAAGCTTGGAAACAGGAGTTCAATCAAAGATTTTTTTTATTAATTTAATTTCGTAGTCATAGTCACAGAAGTATACGTGTACATTTTTATCAATATAATTGTGTAGTCCTTCATTGAATGTTTTTAATATTAAAGTTTTTTGTAAATAATTGTCACTGAAAGAAAATTCTCCGTGTTGATTTATTTGCGTTGACAACAGTCTGACATTTTGGGTGCTTGTCCGGGAAATCGAAAAAAAAAAAAAAAAAATTCTGTTGTCAGCTAGGATAAATATTTACGTGTAAATTTTGATGTGAGGATATTTCCATTGAAAGTTTGTAATAATATTTCTGGTTAAGATCGTTTTATTTCAGTGCAGGTTCATGCCGAAATCTGGTCTCAGCTCACCCGCGACACTCCCGCTGCGTCAGCCGCTTTGCGTGCTACTTACCGTGGTGCTTGCCGTGCTACTTACCGTGCTGCTTGCAGGAGTTGGTTTGGAACCTAAACAAGCAATCATGGAGAAGTGGGTTGAGGTTGGTAAAGAGATGGGATTGCAGGGTGGTGACTTAATGGATTTCATTAGAGAGAGAGAGAGAGAGCGGCAAAGGAAGAGAGAATGGAGTTGAGGTCGTTGAAGAAACAAGAGCAGGAAATCCTAGAGATGAGAATGAAAGTACATGAGGCTGAAAGCAAACCAGGTAAGGAGGTAAAACCCACTGTAACCACAAACACCAAGGCAAAGATGCCTAAACTCCCTAGTTTTCATGATGACAAAGATGACCTTGATTCATACTTACAAAGGTTTGAGCGCTATGCAACCAGTCAGAAATGGCCACCTGAGACTTGGGCCATTAACCTATGTGCACTCCTCACAGGTAAGGCTTTGTATGTATCTACCAGAATCCCAAAAGATCTTGTGAATGATTATGATACACTCAAGAAAGCATTGTTCAAGCAGTATAACTTAACCGAAGATGGCTTTCGTGTAAAGTTCCGTACAGCCAAACCAGATAAAGAGGAAAGCCCGACACAATTTGCAGTCCGTCTAGAGAATGATTTTGACAGGTGGATCGACTTAGCAAAGATTGCAGGGACTTATACTGGATTGAAGAGTTTGATTTTAAGAGAACAGTTCATTAGTAGTTGTAGCCCAGAATTATCTATCTTTCTGAAAGAGCGTTTACCCACAGATTTGGACAAGATGGCCAAGTTGGCTGAACAGTTCATTGAGGCCCGTGGAACAACATTCGGCCAGTTTACTCACCACATCAAGAAGCAACCAACCACAACAAGCTTCAGGAAACCCGAGTCGTCGAAGCCTTCTACAGCCCAGAGTCGTTCAACCACTTTTGTGCCGATGCAAGAGAGGATTTGCTTCGTCTGCAAGAAGAAGGGGCATCTCGCCAAAGATTGTCGTTTCCGAGGAACCCCGATGAGAGCGTCGAGTATGTTGGTCGATGATGGTAACAACAGTGGACATCCTAGAGTTAGTCAGTCTGATGGTGCCGGAGGATCGCATGGTGAGTCAACGAATAAGCATGATTGTAATTGTTCAGATTGTCCTAGAGGCAGGGAAACCGTTGCCTTTATGGTTTCACATAAACTCCCCTCTTTGAGTGATTGTTGCAGAGAAGACGATCATGTTACCCTCAGATGTGGACATCAACTGCCCATCATGAGTGCTGCCTGCCGAGAGCGTCTCATAGCTCACCGGAATGCCAGTGAAAGAAGGACAGATTGGTACCCAGAAAGTGTCCGTGCTCAGAGACAGCGGCTGCAGTGGTGTTGTGGTGCGACAGAGCCTTGTTACCGATGATCAGTTGACAGGTGAGCAACGAGCATGTGTTCTGATAGATGGGACAATCAGAAAGTCACCCGTGGCTAAGATCTCTATTGACACCCCATTCTACCGTGGTCAAGTTGAGGCAATTTGTATGAAGAATCCTGTGTATGATGTTATTTTGGGTAATGTCCTAGGAGTTCGGGATCCCAGAGATCCAGACGAAAACTGGTCTCCTGAGAAAACCACTGGTCCTGACCTTACATTAGCTGTCCAAACCAGAGCTCAGAAGGCTGCTGATGAGAAACCTCCTAAGTCATTGAAGGTGCCAAGCTGTATTTCTGATGTTGTCACTGCAGAAGATCTTCAAGCTGCACAAGAGTCAGATCCCACACTGCAACGATGTAGGGAATTAGCCAAGGAAAGTGAGTTGAGAACGGGTAAAAATGGCCACACATCCCACTTTGTAAAGCGCAAGGGTATATTGTACCGGCAGTTTCAGTCACCAGCTGTTGACAATAACAACATATTTTTCCAGGTAGTTGTACCCTCAAAATACAGGTCTCAAGTCATGAAACTGGCACACGAGTCTCTATTTGGAGGACATCTTGGATCACAGAAAACTTGCGACAGAGTAACAACCAATTTCTTCTGGCCAGGTATCCATTCATCCATTCGTCGCTTCGTCAAGTCTTGTGACATCTGCCAGCGCACCTATCCAAAGGGAAAGGTCAAGAAACTACCACTTGGAAGTCATCCTCTGATAGACACACCATTTCAGCGTGTGGCTGTAGATATCGTTGGACCAATCCATCCAGCTACGGACAAGGGTAATAGGTTCGTATTGACAGTTGTTGATTATGCTACCCGATACCCAGAAGCAGTTCCCCTCCGTAACATCGAGACTCCGACAGTGGCTGAAGCATTAGTTAACATCTTTTCTAGGGTTGGAGTACCTAAGGAAATCCTTAGTGATCAGGGTTCACAATTCATGTCTGGTCTGATGCGAGAAGTCAGTCGCTTGTTGTCAGTGAAACAGCTTACCACTACACCATACCATCCCGCCTGTAATGGCCTTGTGGAACGGTTTAATGGTACGCTCAAACAGATGCTTAGGAAGATGAGCACCGAGAGACCGAAGGACTGGGATAGATATGTTGGAGCTTTGCTTTTTGCATACCGTGAAGCACCTCAAGCAAGTTTGGGCTTCTCCCCGTTTGAACTCCTCTATGGGAGGACGATAAGAGGACCGATGTCTATCTTACGGGACCTATGGACGGGTGAGACTAAAGAGGAAGATACCAGAACTACTTACCAGTACGTGATAGACCTGAAGAACCGGTTGAGAGAAACTTGTGAGTTGGCACAACAAAGTCTGAACAAGGCCCAGATTCGACAGAAGAAGTACTACGACAAGCGCAGTCGAGACAGACAATTCAATGTAGGTGATGAAGTGTTGTTACTCCTTCCAACTGATAGTAATAAACTCCTCCTACAGTGGAAGGGACCATTCCCTGTTGTAGCAAAACAAGGCAATCTAGATTACCAAATTGACATGAATGGTACTGTCAAAACTTTTCATGCAAATCTGCTTAAGTTGTATGTTCGCAGGGTAGAAGCCGCCAGCAATGAGCCAGTGGAGTACGCATGTGTGTCAGTCATCGTCGATGGAGAGTGTGATGAAGAAGGTGACAACGAATCTTTACTGCATTCACCAGTCTTGGAGGCAACAGAGTCAGTAGATGATGTTCTGATCGACCATGAACTTACCAAACAACAGAGACAAGAGGTAAGAATAGTTCTTAGTGAGTACCCCAATGTCCTTACTGATCTTCCTGGGAGGACTACAGTCGGAGAGCATGATATCAAGTTGACATCTAATGATCCAATTAGGTTCAAACCATACCCACTACCGTTTGCAATGAGAGACACCGTCGATGAGGAAGTAGCACAAATGCAGAAGCTAGAGGTCATCGAGCCATCACAATCCCCATATGCATCCCCGATTGTTCTGGTAGACAAGAAAGATGGAACCAAAAGATTTTGCATAGATTTTCGAGGTTTGAATCGCATAACAGTATTTGATGCCGAGCCACTTCCAACCCCAGATGAAATATTTGTTTCACTTTCACATGATCGCTATTTCAGTAAGTTCGACTTAACCAAGGGATACTGGCAAATCCCGATGAGAAAAGAACCCAGACTAGCCACAGCGTTCCTTACACCGAATGGGTTGTTTCAGTTTTGCACCATGCCGTTTGGGTTAGTAAACGCCCCAGCTACGTTTAGTCGGATAATGAGAAGGGTTCTGAAAGGTCTGAAGCATACAGATAACTTTATTGATGACATCTTAATTCACACAGCAAGCTGGGATGATCATGTTGTAGCACTTCGAGTACTCTTAGAACGTCTGCAATCAGCGCAGTTGACAGCAAAACCAAGTAAGTGTGTCATAGGGGCGCAGAAGTTGGAATTTTTGGGACACGTTGTTGGACAGGGACATCTCCAACCACAACCAGACAAGATGAAGCACATCCAAGAGGCCAAACGACCAGAGACCAAGAAGCAACTTAGATCCTTTTTGGGCTTAGCCGGTTATTACCGGAGGTTTATCCCAAATTTTGGTGCATTGGCTGTACCTCTGACAGATTTGACAAGGGCGAAAGAACCAAACCGCATCACGTGGGGAGAGAGTCAGGAGATGGCATTCAACACACTCAAGACAAAGTTGTCTACAGATCCAATCCTTCATCTGCCAGATTGCTCCAAGCCGTTTATCATCCGCACTGATGCATCCAACACAGGCGTGGGAGCAGTTTTGCTGCAAGAACGAGACGATACAGGTCAAACATTTCCTGTGGCGTATGCCAGCAGAAAACTTCTACCAAGGGAGAGATCTTATGCGGTAATTGAGAAAGAGTGTCTAGCTGTCGTATGGGGAATCCAGAAATTTGAACCGTACCTGTATGGTCGTCAGTTTGTTCTCCAAACCGATCACCAGTCTTTGGCGTATTTGCATCGAAACAAGTTGGCGAACGCGAGGATAATGCGTTGGGCATTAGCTTTACAGCCCTACAGGTTCAGAGTAGAATATATCAAAGGGTCCCAAAATGTTGGTGCTGACTACCTGAGCAGAAGTGAAGTTGAAGGTGAGTGAATTAAATTCCCAGATGTGACTGCCTGATGAGAGACATCAGATTAAATTTGAATGATGTTTCCTAACCAGTGTAAATAAGTGTTTTTATGCCTACAGGTTTGAAGGGTTGACTCCCATCAAGGATGGAAAATGTTTTCAGGTAAAACATTCTTAAAGAGGGAGTGAAATGTAACAGTCCGTTTCAATGTATTTATTTATATTTCTTTTATTTGATGTGTCCTTTCCTTTCCACCTTACAAGTAAAAGTTCCTATGCAAATGTATTTTCTTTTCCTGTGTGAATATTCAATAGCTATGTGCATTCTTAGACATTCTTCAGTTGGGTGTAGTTCTTTTGTGTTTGATTAGTTGGGTGTGTATGTGTGTGTGAGTATATAAGTGTATGGTCAGTGTGACTCCAGCCCACTCTATCACATTATGAGAGCTCTATAGACACCAAGACAAATCTCCTGCTGCCTGCTGCCTGCTGCCTGCTGCCACACATTTTGCTCAGCAGAGTATTCAGACTCTGATGCAGAGCAATACGTATTAGCAGAGCCGAGCCGTGTACTGCAGCAGTGCCATTGTATAGCTGTTAGCTGGGGCAATTTTGCTCCACTGTCTGCTGGTGAGCTGTAAAACCAGATACGGGGAACCTCGCTGCAAAACCGTGAGTTAGATTAATTTATTTTTTTTTCTTCTAATTTTATCTGAAGTGGTTTAATTTCTTGAAATACGTTTATTTGTTCGAAGGATTATTTTGCCTACAAAATATAGTGACTGCTTAAACTTGCATGACCTGTGTACATAAGTTATGTTGAAGATTTTGGATTATTATTATTGGGGATCGACTATGTTAATTTGACTTTTCCAGAAAGTATTACTGGGGATTTCAGCCAGTTTGGGGGTCCTTCAACACCGCATGTGCATCCATTTGAAGTAGATCGGGACAGTCGCCTACTACTTGCTTGTGCCAAGACCTGACCTCGAGTACTACCACAAGGGCCAGACGAGGACTGGATTAACCACTTGACAGTTCGGCTGCTCAACTGGAAACCAGAACTGTATTGGGTTTGCATTGCTAAATACCCTGAATACATTTATTGTCATCGAGTCAAAGATAGAGTGAAGTCAAGTTAATTTGTGTCCAAGAACGAGAAAACTACTATTGTAATAAGAGTTGTTGTTGTTTTTTTGTTTTTTATAAAATACAAATTAAGGAAACCGTTCAGTGTTGATTCATTTTCAATCAAAGAAAACACAGAAGTGATCCCACTGGTGTAGCAACTAAAAGTTCAGTTTGTTAAAGTCAACAGAGGTGTAAATTGAGTAGTTTAACAAAAACCTAGTGTAAATAAGTCAGTGTATAGTGCACATACGTGTACTGTGTTTCAAGTATACGACTTGAAGATAATCTTGTTAATTCAAGTTCAGTGTAACACCGTTGCCATTAACGGAAGTGTAATAAGGTTTTTGTAAACAAAAAGAAACTTAAGTAATCAAGCTTGGAAACAGGAGTTCAATCAAAGATTTTTTTTTATTAATTTAATTTCGTAGTCATAGTCACAGAAGTATACGTGTACATTTTTATCAATATAATTGTGTAGTCCTTCATTGAATGTTTTTAATATTAAAGTTTTTTGTAAATAATTGTCACTGAAAGAAAATTCTCCGTGTTGATTTATTTGCGTTGACAACAGTCTGACATGTACTCTAATCCATCGGACTCGCATAGGAAGTGCGCATCCCCGTACAAGCTGTCACCAAGGCCAGCCAATCAGAATGAACCGTAATCATGGGGGATTGAACAAGACAAGTACGGAGTTTGTGCGGGAGCGGGAGTAATGCCGGCATTGGCAATACGCGCCCCCTTCTCTGTCGATAGCAACTTGGTTTGCTCCCTATTCATATTGACGCCAAACTTGTAACAATTAACCTTGCGGAGTTGTAAATATTCACGAATCAATCAGATATTGTGGAGCACAGCGTATACCGGATGTTTCATTTTGGCATCAAAAAAATGAATCTTTTTTTGTGATCAGGCACAGACATATGAGATGGTATAGTTTTTCCTAGAACTGTATCTTTTCTGCTGCCTTCTGTTTGGTCGCACCACTTCATCATCCGATGCTTGTTGGCGCTTCATACGACATAAATATCCTACGTCCTCTCCGGTGGTGTGCCCGTTCACAGTTTAGACCGTGGGCCAGAAATCCTATCTCGCCTAGAAAATGAAGTCCGTTAAAAAATGTTGGTGGCAAGAAAAAAATGCTTGTTCTTTGTCAATTCGAGGGTGCTGAATTCAATTCTTCCTGTTGCCGGGCTTTTAAGTGGCACGTTTAGTCACAATCCCCGTCCAAAGTTTGATTCCCCCAAAAATCTATTAGGGGCCCCTAGCGACCGATGGCGGTATCCATCCCCTTAAAGTTCTCAGAAACGGCTACTCCGATTTAAATGCAGATCGTCACCCACTTAGAATTATTAATGATTAATAACTCTATAGACTTGTAGGTTCATAAACAAAGTGGTTTCTTAATTACATGTACTTTAATTATGCAAAAACAATGCTCATATATGTTTTATTGCAAATTGGCACAGAAGGCATACATGTAACTGACTTTTCCATATAAGGCATGAATGACTTTTTCTATAATTGTATACGACTGCATTATATAACTAACCTAAAACAATTGTTATATTGATGCCAAGAAAACAAATCATTTTAATGGTTTTATTGTTGTGATCATTAAATATGAAATTATGCTCAAAATAACGCCTTGTCCATATTCAGTGTTTTTATGCCAATAAATAGTTTGTTCAAGGTATCACTGAATTTTTGCATGTGAGGCTGAAATTATTGAATTACATGAACATTTATGTCATTAATCCAAAATGAGCCGTCTCCAAATTTAACATAATCACATAATTACATAATTATGGTAATTAATTGTGCAATTTTGCAACAAATTGGATTAAAAACAGCACCAACTTTTGTTCTTAAATGTTTATAAAAGTATTTGATTCCAACAATGTCCTAATTGGAAAGGTTTTATTTTGTGGTAATTAATTAATAAATAAGCAACAAATAAATCTGTGGCCATACTCGATATGTTCTTCTCAAAAAAATTCTTCAAGGTATCACTGAATTTGCCATTAACACAAAAATGAACTGTCTAGAACTGGAACTTCCATAATTCCAAATACATGTATGTCATAATTATTGTAATAAAGTATGCAATTATGCAATAATGGATTGTCAAGGCATTACATGTATTGAGTTTTTTACTTAAGTGTGGGGCTGCTGCGCTCGTCTGAAGCATCAACTTGGGTCAACAGAAGGTGGAGCTGGAAGAACTATTTGTAGATGAGGAATTGTCATAAGCCTAAAAATATACTGTTGAAAACTGGAATTTGCTGTAAAATACAAACCAAAGAAATATTCTTCCTGAATAGCATCATGGAGAATCACGTTTCTGCTGTCTACACCAGTGGTGTTCTCACAATCACTGCAACGACACAAGTCTGTACACGGCAAGTCGCCTGCCACACAAGAACAAATTTGTGACTTGCAATGTCCCTTCTTGCATTTACAAGAAATGTTTTGGAGGATAGTTGCATGCATATTTAGTTATCCAATTTACATGAATATAATGTGATGGCATGCCCATAGAAAATGTATTTATTTATTATTTTTTTAAGTATCCTAGTATTTCCTACAATTAAAGGCACTTTATCCTACAATTAAGGGGACTATTACTGTGATCTGACTTTAGTCACACACTCAATAATTTTTCATAAAATAGGAAAATATTATCACTTTGCATATTGACTAGCTGCCATGCTCTAAATCAACAGAAAATATTCCAAACGTCTAGCCACTTTTTTATGATAAAGAAGGTTCTGCATTAAGTTTTTACCTTGATGTAATTCTTGTGGCATGATCTGTGATACCGGACTTCGATTGCCACCATGTCTTGACCTTGAATATCAAGAAGGATGGATTCATCATTGAGTAGTTCAGCAGTCTTGAGAAGTTGTCCACCTGAAAAATATAGTGAAAAAAAAATCTGGTTCAAAGTGGTTTCAACAATTATGTGGAAATGTCTTTCCATGTATATGACATTATGGTGGTGTCACACTTTATATACATGTACATGTAATTATGACTGTACCTTTTTCATATTCACAGTTTGTGAGTGGCTCTTTTTTTCCGCGGTCCAAATGGCGGCTGGATCCATTTGCTCTTCTTGCATATGATGCACTCCACTGGTAGAACATGCCTGGTCCTTTGCTCTTTCTCTCCTGTGCGTCTTCTCTTGCGGGGGATTACCACATCTCCTGCGCCATCACCTCCTTCACTAGTTGAGCTCTTCTCCATCCTCAGTTTTGCTCGCTTTATTTTTGATACATTGCAGAATCTGTTGAATTGAGAACGAGACAGATGAAATATTTGGCAATGAAATGGCTGATTGGATTTAAACAATAGAGATCAGAAAGTTTCAGTTCAAAGTACGTTTGTAATCAAATCATATTTCTTGTAGAAGTAGAATTTTTTTTTTCCCTTCGTAATCGATATCCCTCATGTCCGTGGCTCTTGTAGTATTCATTAATCCAAGTTTGTCACCTAAGGCGCTCCATACTGATCTACAATAAAGGCCAAAGGTCACCCCTCAGTCAGAAGTCATGACAGCCATAAAACCAGTGTGAATCTCTCAACATCTAAGTTTAGGCTCTCGGATCCTACAGCTCTAAAAAAGAAAATACAGAATGTCCAAAAACCAACTTGTCTATAGTCTGGCTCTTACAGCCATGGACTATTACAAGAACCAGACAATGCTATAAAGACTAACGACAGAGGTTGACAATTACGTTACAGCTGCTGTAACGATAGCCGGTGTGAAACAAATAAGTGAAAGATTCCCAGATCTGGCCATCACTAATTTTCCCTTCAGTGACCTATCACTATCAGCCATCACAAAGTGAAAATCAGTCCTAAAAACTTAGCAGGGAAAATATTGAATTATTTACTGAGAACACAATTCCAGATTTTAAGAACAGTTTCAAATGTTCTGACTGTTAAGGGTGACAAGTGATGGCCAAATATGATTATCTTTCCCCAAAAATACTCAATCATCGTCAGAACTCAGATTGTCATGTTTGTCCAATCCTATTTTATTTTCAATGTACTAATAGCAAACACAACCTATTTATTTGCTTTGAAAAATGACTTCAGTTACGTATTAAAATAGTATAAATAGCCCCCCCCCCACTACGATGATAACAATTAACATTCGACATGTTTGGAATTGGAAACTTACATCTGCCAATGCCGGTGGTAGCCATACTCGGCCTTTGATCGTTCGTTTTTCGCTATATCTTTGCTTTTTTGGGCAACTCCCCTCTCCTTTCCATCCAATTCTTGCCATTGCTGACAACAAGTTACAAACTTCTTCCAGCTCGTCTCAAAAAATGGTGAAATTTCACCGCTTTCTTCGCCAACGCACGTCCTTTCGACACTCTGCCGACGGGCGCCGCCATGTTCCTCCTGACGTCCTCGTCCCCGGTAAAATTAACGCGATTTTCTAAATCGCCTACGAAGCGCCGATTCGAGGTTGCAGCATACCGCCCTCAATCGGCGTTCAAAAAAACATCGCCGACGCGACGGGAAAGTGGCAATTTTCTACCTTGATTTTCACATTCGTTTGCCGGGTTTTCTGCCGGCAACATCACAAATATTAATCAGTGTCACAAAAGGAGTCCATTAGGAAAGAAAAAAAGTTGCCACCAAAAACTCCGAACGATTCTGCACGCTACGATTTCTGGCCCACGGTGTAGTTGTTGAGCTTACTAACTACCGCAACTATGGTTGGCTTTCCGATATAGCCGAATGTTTGGTATAACGGAGATCGGTATAGCGACGTTACACTGTATATCGTAAACCATTAAAAGGGTAAAGAAAGGTAAAGGGGACAAACCTGTGTTCACAGATACGGAGTGCCCATCTCTCTTTCGTTAGCGATTGGGCAAGACTCGTATGCTGCTGTGTGGGGGGGGGGGGGGGGATCGCCACACCTCCTCCACAGCGAGTCGGTTACCTTCCCAGCATTGAATAAGGCCGGTACATATTTAACGCTTGGGTTTAGAGGAGTAATTGAGGTAAAACGCCTTACTCAACGGTACAACCTATGGCCCCGGCGAACTCGAACCCACAACCTAACGATCACGAATGCTGTGCTCTACCGCTAGACCACACGTGCCCATATGCCAAATAGGCAACGTTACGAGAACACGGGTGGTCTTTTTGCCTTGCGAGGCCGCTACAATATCAGCTTCTTTGCCTGGTCATATTGCCCAAAGAACTTGTTCTATAAAAAAAATAAAATATGAAGGGATCTATATGCTATTATAACACCCAAGTAAATCCTTGTCATTTGATTGGAGGATTGAAGGTTACGCGGCATTCATCAATCGAACCATTGCACGGCCTACGTCATAACCGTGTATTTTGGTTCCATTCACCGTGCATTTTCGTCCGATCCCTTTTGATCTATCACACGCCGCGCGCACGTTAAGACGCGCAACGGCCCGGCGCTATCTTTGCGCTATTTAGACCATATCATGCGTTTTAGTAGTACAAACTTGCCTTTGAAGTGGATGCAGTTGCCTTGATGAGTTTTTTTGTTCTCATTATTTTATTACTAACAATGTTAATTTCAAACCTTCATTAGCCTTTAACAAGCTTGTGAGTACTGTGTGTTCTTAAAGTTTTTACCTCCAATCGAATGACAAAGATCTACTTGGATGTTATATAAAACACATAATGAATGTTTTGCATTCGTGCCATGGTGAGAATATTTTCATGAGTTGAAAGATGGAATGTTCCATTCAACTCGGCTTCGCCTCGTTGAATGGAACATTCAATCTTTTAACTCATGAAAATATTCTCACTTTCGCACTCATAAAAATCCATTATTTGTATACCTGTTCCCCTGGATTTATGTACGTCCGTTTTCTCCTATGCAAAATAAATTTGGTCATTTTAGTATAAATTACATGAAAATATGCATTTTGTGGGTCATATCCATGATTTCGTTGCCTGTTCCTATCACGTATCAACTTTCGAAATCGAAATGGTCACGTGCCAACCAATGGAAATCCATCATGCAATAGTTATGCTACAAAAAGCTACTAAAATAAACTACCTTTTATAGAACCATTTTGATTGGCTCAGGGAACTCGTATGACGATACATACATCACAAAATGCAAAACATAGATATAGCACCCTCTAACGGTATACCGTCTTTGCCAGGGTTTGCCTACTTTAAAGAATATTGACCAAGATAGTGTTTGTACCCAATTTGAAAACATTTTGAATAAAAAAAGTAATGTAAAAGTTGTGTGCTACATGTTTTAGACCAAAACATGGCGAAATTATATTAACATACACTTTTGTGCTATACCGAAGCACATTCAAATGATGTCGGATTGGAGATGTTTACTTACATATATTCGTGCCATTTGTTTTTGGACACCAATCACATAATTAAACAAATAATATACACAACGGGTCAATCAAACATTTAAACATTAATGAAACAATATTATCTTATGTTAATTAAACAATATTTTGATATGAGACCTTTAAAAACCGTATGTAAAAAAATGCATTCCGACATAAATGTGTCTCTATAATTATTCACCTGCCTTGGTAAATACACAATGTTCGTTTCGGTGTTAAAAAAAAGTACAGTTGATTAACCAAATGATGCGTCCGATGCGGCGGTAGGCGATCAATACACAAGGTGTACCGTTTTACAATGCATCATCAAACAGCCGTCATTTGTGAATGCCACGAAGCAGTATAATTGGTGAACGCGTTGTGCCGTTGGTAACCTCTCACCAGAGTACAACTACTTGCATTGCGTTGTACACAGCACATCATTTTATACACAGCACAACATTTTGTACGAACCACAGGAAGGTCAGTTTATCCTGGTGACTTACACAGTTGTTTAACTTGATGTTCTCAGTTTGTGTGGATTCCATGCTTCATGACTGACTGGTGAATGGTTTTAGGTGAGTGTAATACCTTAGACTGTCTGGGATACGAGGAAGATAAAAAAAACGTGGCCGTGTTACCAGTAAATTGTGTGTCTTGGCTCCCCTCGACCATGAATGAATGCCTCGACCCAGTTCTGGTACGCAATTTAGTGCACCAATGTATATAACGTTTGTTTCTGCCTTCAATACTGGACGTTAAACAGTAGAGGACAATAGGGTCCACAATTCCCGAAGGTCCACAATATTGACGATCGTGTACACAATATGTGGGAGGTCCGACTTCCTAAAAAGTTAGAGTACAAACAAACGAGGGACAAATAAGGGGTCCACGATTGCAGGTAAATACACACTTGTCTGTGTCTATCTAGGGTACGTACTGACAAGAACCTTGTTTTTGTGTGTGCATGCATGCGGCATGAGGAATGTGTGTCTGTCGCTGTTAGCCCTACATGAAGTAAGCCTAGTGCCCGTCTGTATCTAGACTGCACAGTATCCGTATACACACGAGGCCGCTCTTACATGTAGTGAACCTATCCGAATGTGAAGGTCGTTTTTATTCATTCTTTCTTTACATCTGGGTTTTTTGCACGTCGCGCCTTTCACATACAAGTATACAGTGTTTCAGTGACCGTAATTCTTATGTAAATATCGCATTGAACTCGTGATAAAGAGTACGCGTGCTCCAACTCCAGCTGCAGACATCTATTATACAGCGTCAATATCAAAGTGCTGCCGGGTGTGGAAAAGTCTATATACCCATAGTTTTGGCTTTTCCATGTGCCAAGCCTTCTCGCACTGTTTCTTTCTACCCAGCACAGTTCGGGTACATATATAATGAACCAACCAGTCTCGATGATGTTCAATAAGTGCCTCCCTCCTTTGTTACCACTTTTAAACAGCTTGTGGAGCATGAATAGTCTTGTTTGCAAATAGTTTGTCATGTAGGCCTACATCAATGCATTTGTCTCGATCACTGTTACACTTTGATCAGCAGTTTCTTATCAAACGTAAAAAAAGACGCACGGTACATGTTGTCGTTGTTCAACTGAATAGCATCAAGAGTTAACTAAGTGAGTTCAATTACACGAGAGTTGGATTTTGATTGGCCTGGCGTACAGTAAAACAACTACAAGCATTCCCCAGAACGGTACAAAGACCACTTAATTACAAATTTAATCGCAAGTGATACCTTACTAATTAACCAAACATTGGGCTACACAGCTGCCACGCTTGATAATCCCTCAAAATCGTTTTTAAAACCTCCTTGACTCTCAAAAACTGCAATTTGAGTAAGACTCGAGCGTAGTTAAACTTTGTCCAGTGTTAACCGTACAAAGGAGGGCGCTGTTAAATGGTGCCTTTGTTCACTTTTCTATAAATTGTCCACGAACACCCTGTTTTTTTGGAGTGGCTGTTTATTTTAAAGTCCCTTAGAGAAAGCGAATTAGCGCCACCTATAGTCTGACATTGACCGTGATGTTGTCAGAGCCTCCATGGGAAGATGATGGTACCCCTACCCATGCATGGTTAAACGTATTTTAATCATTTACGGACAGGTTCTATTTCCTCGAAAGTTGGTGCTGTATTGCCGGCTATGTTCTGATTGTTTGTATTGATTCCGACAAATTTATTAAGGGGGAGTTCAGTTGCTATCTTTTTTTTAAAGAAAATAGGAGATCCACAATTGCAGTTGTTATACACTCTTAGGTGTGCTCGTATAGTTGATGATGCAAGTAAGATGATGCGTTTGATCATCCGCATATATTTGACCAACCCTCTTTGAAGCGGGCAACAGGCGAGGCAAAGCCTCGTTACCATAGGCGTAGCCAAGGGAGGTGGGGGGGGGGGGGCAGGGGGCCATGCCCCCCCCCCCCCTGCTGTGTGTGGTAAAAAATACAAAAAGAAATGGAAAGCACAAACAAATGAAATGTTATAATGTACAAATATTAAAAGTAGATTTTCTACCAAAATGCGAATTCTATTTTAAACGAAACTATACGAGTATGGAAATATGTGTAGTCCTGAATGCTACGTACGTGACATGTACATATCCATGTAAACGTACCGAAGGCTACAATAGTTAGCGCGCTTAGACTTCAGTTATTTTATACATAGCATGCACGTAATGTTAAAGGTTAATCCGAGTGACTGGGACTCTACGGATCGCTTTTTTAACATTTGGGCATGGTCGGGCTAAGTAGAGTCCGAGATCGATTGTCCTATATTGCGGTTACCATTAATTTTTTTTGGACAATTTTTAACTTGTACCCCCAATCAAAATCGTCAGATTTCACCCCCAAAACGGTCTTCAAACTGCCTTATGCGCCTCTGTAGGCTTTAGTGGGAAGTGAAAATACAAATGGTTGTGGTTATTTTCCCAAAAGGCGGCTATAGACGGCCTGTGTACCACTTTTTGCCGGTCTCGGTCTCGGTCTCGGGAGCTGTGGTCTCGGTCTTGGTCTCGGTCTCGGTCCCCTTTGGTCTTGATATTTTGGCTGGTCTCGAGTCTCCGGTTTCTGGAATGCGCGCGTGCGTCGCCGTAGCCATGCGCGTCGGCTACATTTGGGGTGTTACTTTTTGAAACGGTAACCACAATTTGTCATTGAGCGTTTTCACAAAGTAACACTGGAGTAGACTTGGGTGTTACTTCGTAAAGTCGGTGACAATTTAAATCTTCTGATTGGTCCCATGCCCGTTAGGACCGGTTTTAAATTACTATGGTTGAAGACAAAGACAATTTTATACTCGTGTTGCACAATATGTAAAATCGATCAGTAAAATCGATCAATACAAAAAACGTAAACAGGCCCGTATGCTTTGGGGGGGATTCCCGCTTGGTGACGAGTTCTGCTCAGAAATAAAAACAAAAAAATGCCAACAAAGAAAATCAACTTTGACGACCCACCACCATTCCCCTTAAAATCTTACCTTACAATTGTAAACACGAGCACATTAGATTCAGAGTAAGAAGAAAGTGGCCAGGAAATGCCTCAGATTGCACCACAGAGCGTCTAGAATCCAACATTTACCGGGGCCCTTCAGTGGGCCCCGGACCCCACACCGTAAGGGCTTCGCGCTTCGCGCTTGCATTCAGGTTGGTAACGGCCGGTCAGACTTGCGCCCCCCCCCCCCCCGCTCCAAATTCCTGGCTACGTCTGTGCTCGTTACATATATATAAAAGGAAAAGTTATGGATTTGTTTTGGAAAGAATTTGATATAGGAAATGAATTTTGATTTGAAATGAATAGGAAATGTGAGGTTTTTTTTCAGCATTATATTGCTAATATTCCCGTGCCAGGGATCTTGTTCGTTGACTGCCAAATCTGGATGGAAACTGTATAATATGAGTTATCTTAACTCAAGGTTGTTTATTTTTCGTGGCGTAAAATCCAATAATATCCTCACTTTTTTGAAGATGAATATTGCACTGACTTTTTGCATTTCAATTTGTGTATGGAGGCATGACAATAAGATATTACTAAAATCCTAAACCCCGTGCCGAAATGTTGGTTGTTTTATTAGTTATTACACGTCACGTGATAGATGTAACCAGGAAAATGGGATCTTCTTTTCCTTCTCCGCTTTCTTTTCCTTCTCCACTCTGAAACTAAATAGTTAGGGTTGCACGTAATTTATTGTGCTGTAACTGAAATGCAAGTACTGCCTGTTTACATAAACGATTTGTTTCGTTCCCCATGCAGATGTTTTCACAGGCCAACATTTACGTTGTGACTCAATATGGATAACGCGTTGATTCTGGGATTCGCCATGCTTCTGTCCTCCTCTTCAACTGCCATGCCTGCTGCCGTGAATGGTCCACCAATAGCTATTACAACCCGCTTCGTCCCTCCAATCGCCAACGAGGGCGAAAAGCTCACCTTCTCCAGTACCTTCGACATCACCAAGGGTACAGAAAGATGCAAACCTAAAGGCCTACAGTTCGTTCAGAGGGACATATTAGAGTTCGACGAACCCGACGTAGTCATGGCCGAGTTTGATAAAGTGATCGTGGACGATTACCGCTTACATGTCGCTCTAGACACCAGCAAAGATACCTGGGTCTATAACCTGACCATTGATTGCGTAACTCGGCTTAACACAACTTTTGCCGTAGCTATTGCTGGTATGTGGGACTGTCCGGGATTGCAGCAGAAATCGTGTATAGGGTTACCGATCAAAGTCAAGTTCTCTTCCACTGATCCCTTTCCGATCTGCCCCAGTAACCAGACCCCGGGCAACAGCGTCTTCTCCAAGAGCTTCAAGCTGAAATCACGGCCTTCACATCCCTTTTCAGAATTGGTCAAAGGATTTCAATCTTACAGCCGCAGTAATGGAGTTGGTGAGGTGGAGAACCTTTACAGCAAATAATAACAACCATTCGTTTAAATGCTGCTTGAGCATCATCAGTGTAGTTATTCAACTTTATAGAATGATATAAATTGAAAGTGTGACTTGCGCTCTCTTGTAAAATTGGGACAGGGGCTCGCTTAATTAGACCTAATTGTGCGAAATTGTTAATGCAATGCCGTAAATTCCCTGCACTCAAAAGTACAAAATGAACTGTGAATGATCGATCTTTATTAGCGGGATTAAACGATATCAAGACAGGGTGCTTTTCCTACAAACTTTATATAAATAGACCGTTATTTGTATGGATAACTTCTAAGTACTGGACCTTTTATTATGTACAGTTAATACGAATAGTTTTAAAAAGGAAAAATGACAGGTGTGGTGGAAAAATCTTGAGGGTGGGCCTGCCCCCGTCCCCGTGCTTTGCATTATGATGTATTAATATAATTGTCATGCTGAAATTGAAAAAAAAAAGCGAGAGCTAACAAATCCCATATACCACTGTGCAATGCCATGACGAACACACAACCACCAATGCAGCAGTTGAGTTTTTCAGCTGAGATTTACGGGCGGCATCCTTCACTTTTCTGATGAGGTACAAGCGAAAATATATTCCGCCATGCTTCCACCTAAGATCGCTGTCATGATGATGATATGCCACATGAATAGCCTTTGTAATGAATTACTGCAAGCTACATCCTTATTAGTTAGTGCTCAATTCAATGTTGGAGCTACCGCGAAACATGGAAAAAAAGAGATTCACACGCATGATTAAAATCGACGCGCGCGCAGATCAGAGACCGACTCATTTTTGTTTGGCCTTATTTGGGTTGTGTAAACAATCAAACGGTTGTGTACTATATGAACCCAGCAAAATATTACACAACTTGTGCAAAATATTACACAGCTTGTTATTTTTTTTTTACACAACTGGTTGCTATAGGTTCATATATTACACAACCGAAATAACACTGTGGAAAGTACAACCAAAATGTTGAGGCAGCTACGAATTGCCAATAAGTTTGAGTGCCTCTCACGTTTAGTAATCGCCTAATATGGGAATGCGTGCATCAATATGGCAACGAAATGTGCGCATGCGTTTAAAGTAAACTGATGGAGTTCAAGCTATAGCTGCGGTATTGTTTGTGGATTGTCACTATTATTAGTAACTTCGTGTTACGAAAGACGTGGTGGTTGATTTGAAAGTTTGTTGCGTGAGTTAATAGACATTCCTGTCAACTTCAAGCTTGATTACGAATAAAAATCCTCTTAACAAAGTAATCGTTGTAAACCACGGGAGGCAGCTGCATTACCTACTTTATTCAAACAGTGCTTTCTCACCAGATATGAAAGTGTTACAAGTTATTCTTATCGCCGTGATCTTCTGTGCTGAGTTCTCCATATCAAATGGATCAGCACCAGTCAAATATTCGAGCAACTTCGGAGTATCCGGGCACGGCAATGACAAGACGGTACCGCGTGCGCAACGCGTCATTTCCTCCTCCGTAGCGGGATCTGAGCATCGTTGCGCCGTGAAATGCTTGAAGAACGATCGCTGCTGGCAGTTCTGCCATGTGGCAACCAGCGGCCTTTGTGTGCTGCAGGATGCCTCCTTAGTCCAAAAGTCTGGAGGGCCGTCCAAAGTCGACAACTGCACTTATTTCACAAGAAAAGGTAGGAATATAAACAATGATAAACAATACAAAACTCTTATCAGTTAAGCATTTAATGAGCCGAGGAGGCAAATATATATTTAGTTTGCATTTCGGTCAAGTCATTGGCCGTGATACACATGCGTGAAAAAAAATCACGTGAACGAATAAACATGTCACACGATTCTGGAGCGTGGAGTCGCCTGTTCTTCTCATTCGTGCCCCTGGAGGATTTGTTTCCTAAACGGGAAGTTAAGTTCGAGAACCATTCCCTCCCAACTGACGCATGTGCATTACGGTCATTGACTATACTTGTTTGCAGAAAAAAAATATTGCGCCCAGGAGAATTTCAAAAATTGAAAAAAAAAGTTACTATAGGTTTTCCTGGATATTTTGAAACATTTTTCGTTCGAATTCACCGATTCTTATATTCAAATTCGTCCAGCAACATCGATTTAGTGTTTAATTTCACCTTTTTCAAAGTTTCAAATTTAGTCCAAAGAAATTCAAGCAATGAACACACATTTGTTTGTCGCAGAGTATTCGATTTCGTCCCGTCTACGCCCAATATTGTTAGTCAGAAATCAAATTCGTTCAATTTCACACAATTTAAACATAATTGTGTTCATTTTCGTCATACTTCATAGCGATATCTTCAAAAGCATTATGGAGGAATTTGAAATTTTCCCGCCCAACTTCGTAAACTTAGCATCTGAATTAACGATAGGTTCATTCAATTTAGGACGAAATTGATTGACGAACTAGATCGCCATTCAAGAACAAAAAGGATCATTCAATTTAACTTCATGAGCACACGATTGCACACATTTGTAAAACATAATTGAAGAGTCAGCTTTCAATTTGGAAAAAAACATGCAAATAGCGTTCAAATTCGCGCGGACTCTCCGCGGTAAGCGTTTTTGGCATTCAATTTCGTGAAGAGGCAAGCATTTGTGACATTTGTGCAATGTTTTTCACTTAATGTTAATTTTCTGATACGTAATTTGTTTCGTTTTAAAATTATGAAAAAAACGAAATACACATTTATTATAAGTAAAATGAAATAAAACAGCCGAAAGTATATATTTATAACAGAAAGGATTAATAAATGAAAACGGTGGGGGCATGCAAAAAGGAGAAATGAATGAAAAATGGAGAGACAAAGAAATACTTGCAAAATGTGATAAATAAAGAAATTAAGACATTGCGAACAACTTTAATTGGCACATCACACATAAATTATGCACGTGTGAGTATGTAAACACCGGCACTAAGGACAAAAGGGTTAATTATATAGGGCACAAACAAAGGGTCCACGATTGACCGATAGTCAACGATTGAAATTCGTGTACAAAACCAATGAGAGCTGTTGCTAAAAAGTTAGTGTACAAACAAAGAAATGAGGATTAGGGACAATAGGGGTCCATGATTACCGGTGTTTACAAAGATGTGCGTTTGTTTATGGTGTAAATCGAGGACACACACGTGCAACATCATGGATGAATCGAGGACAGGAACCAAATCGAGGACTCTTCGTTTAGAAAACGTATACAAAACCAATGAGAGCTGTTGCAAAGAAGTTTGAGTATAAACAAAGGAAAATGGAAGAGGAACAATAGAAAATCCTCGATTTACATCAAAAACAAACGTGGCCTTTCTGTCGTTGAGTTTGTTTCTGCGTTCAATAGTGGACGTTGAACAATAGAGGACAATATGGTCCCAAATGCCCGAAGGTCCCTAATTTGGCGATGTATACAAAACGTGTGGGAGGTCTTCCTAAAAACAAAAAAGGGACAATAGGAGTCCCCGATTGCAGGCAAATACACACTTGCGTGGGTTGGTTATCCATTCAGACTGAAGAATTGGCACAATGGGGTGCGTGCGATTTCAATAGGCCCGAGGACCTAGGCCCAGGTCCTCGGGAGAATTCGTGTACAAACCTTATGGGAGCTGTTGAGAAAGCCCAAAAGGAATGCCAACCGACTTGCGGGGTATCGTTTTGGTACCCCACAAGTTTTTCACGAAATAGAAATATGGATTTTACTCAAAAACTAGGAATTTCCAAGGTGGGTTGATTTGTCGCAAATGGAAGAGTTTTAGAAAAGGGATATGAAGTCCGAATTTCAGCCCAGGAAATTAATTCAGGTTAAAATAAGAGTATTTTAAAATTAGTGTGCGACGTTGCAACATTTTAGTACACGAGAACAAAGGAAGTACCCCACTTCTATGCCTATATAAGCATGGGTGTGTGGGTGTGTGCTTGTTCTATGTTAAAATAACAAATTATTCAGTAAACTCCATTTAGTCAATATAAGCATCGTCCATTTCAGTTTTCCTCATAAATATTGTACTTTCCTTTTCCAATTTGATGGCTCGAAGTGCGAAAATGGTTGCCCGTAGACGAAAACGAAAGTAAAATTCAGGAGGGAACTCTCATTCTAGTCGCCCGGCGCGAAATTGAATGACGGTTATGCATCGTCTAATTGAATGAAGCTAGTTCTAAATTGAATGCGTGAGAGTACACAATCCAAAGTCTGCAAACGAAATTGAAGGCTCAAAGTGTGAACATGAATCATGAGAACAACGAGCTGAGAAAAATCGCTCGGAAACGAATGCACGTTAATGAATTTGCCTGCTGTTTTGCCGAATTCGGCAGGGAAAAACTATATTAGCACAACACAAAAACCTATACTTAAGCATTGCTTATATTGAAGGCCCCTCCAGGGTTATTTTTTATCAACGCTCTTATGCTTTTCGGCACAATCTCTTTTCAGCGTCGTCGTTATGAAAATATTATACAATACAAGTCCAGGTCCTAACTCTATTGTTGAACAGAATGGTTTGTATCTGGTTACGGTACGCTGACCACTTATCGTGATAACTCTAATTATCCCTCTTTACCGAAAATGGACAATCCAGCCGAGGCAGCCGTTCGCCACCTGGTCATCAACCCCATTCAACATGTATCCTTTGTTCGCAACTACCTGGATGGACTGAGCGGAAGGTGACCCCGCACTGGAAGAGAATATTTATGAATGCATTGTTAGTATGCATGGCATCCAGCCCCGAATAACCTCGAGCTTTACCGCTCAGTTTGCTGCGGTTAACGTCGAGAAACCGCCTGAATTTGCCTAAGAGCTTGCTGCAGAAGCTGTACCACATTACCGAGTTACTTAAAGCAGTCCCAGTGTTGGTGTCTAAAACTTGTTTGAATATTCAAATCATCTGGCTTGTTTTCACGTTTACGTTTGGGACATGATAAGGCAAAGTAAAAATCAACAACACATGTTTCTCGTCCCCGCCCGCTTCCTTTCTGGAGGCCGCCTGGTATTTTTTAATTATTTGTTATTTTTGAAAAATGCAGTAAAAAAAACCACCGAAAAAGTCCAAAAATTCATCGGAATATAAATACTCGCGAAATATGTAACCGATACAACGCTAAATGACACTGTAAATATGTTCAATTCTCTTGTCCAACTTATCTTTCATTTTAAAAGTGTCTTTGAACAGTGGAAACACCAACGGTTGCAGGAAATTTTAAAATGGCAGCCATCTTGAAACAAAATTATAAAAAATAAAGAGCTCCTCTTCCTCCTTTTTTTTTCACAAATCCGGACGAGAAATGTTTTGTTATTTAAACAAGGAAATCTCAATGCACCAAAAAAATAGCAATAGCTAAAAGTTGACAATGGAATGTTTCATCTAATAATCGCACTCATCTGTTTCTTAAAAATTTGAGCAAGTAATTAAACCAGCTGGTGCAAGCCCACTATAACAGGTTATCCTAGTACGCAAATTAATAAAAAATAATTGATACAGAATAGCTTAAACGTTCGTGTAACAAGCGGGAAAAGAAGTAACCCCTCAAATTCACATAATATATTTTAAAGATATGGTGTAGCGAGAACGTAGAAAAACAATTTGAATCTTTCATTTCCATGACTTCAAAGCTTGGAACTAAAAGGCCTTTTCCTCAGCATTTCACAATTCGTATGCATGTACATACAGAAGAACGTTGAATAGCCAATACATGTAAGCGAAATGTACGGTTGGAGTGCAACAAATAGTATTGTAAGAACAATTACATTTTTATACCTCTTCTGCCCGCACTGAGCATGTACGTGCACAGCTATGCAGAGGTTAAACACTCTCTCAAAATCGTAGCCAAAAATGGACTGTAGTGGAGTCGGCGAATTAGCTGTTATTTGGAAACGGTGTGAAACTGCAATTTACATCATACAGAACACATGTTGAGTTTAAACAATAAACTACAGAAGATGAATGAAGTATTCATTAGTGTGAGGCGATTACTAAATAAATTGACCACTAATGAAAGAGACGAAAATAATAAGGAAATGGCCCAAGGACTAAGACAAGTCTACCCCAAGAATCCAAATTCTGAGAATAAAACTGGCTGGAAATACCCCCTTAAATAACAGAGAAATTACAAAATAGATCTCACACATGTAAATGTAGACAAATCCCCAAAAATGACATGTAAGCGGAATGAGACGGAAAAACCATGCCCTCAAAATGTCCACAAAAACCAATTCAAAATGTACATGAGTCCGAACACGTTTATGTACACGTGTCCGTAAATAAACGACACTAACTTTAAGAAATAGCCTCCAAAACCCCACAAAACAGTAATCGAAATAGTAAAGCTTATACATTACATGATCAGAAAAAGATTACTTACAGATTTTGCTGATTAAGGATTACTGGTAAAAACTGTCGAAAATGACTTATTTTCTAGAGTACAACTGTGATGAATAACTACGATCAAAACGCTGGCATGAAAAAAATACAAATGAACGCCAGCGGGCGCTAGACACATATTGCAACGGCTGCCGAAGGCAGAACAATACCTGCAAACCCTCACTTCGACCTCCACACAGTTTTGTCTCATTTTCCCAGAACGCATTACGGGATTACCATGAAAGTACACGGTGTACATGTATAGGATTTAGCCTCCCTCCATCAGTATTACTAGTAATTGAACCAGACGAGAATATAACTCGACGGTTGTCAAATCAATCAATGGAATTGTGAAATAGGCATAAAATAGGCACAAAGTAGGCATAAAATGACGATTAGGTGGAATTAGTCTTGAGCTCCTCCTGCCGTAAAAAAAAAAGCCACCTCTCCCGCCCGAGGCTCGCCCTTTCTTAAAAACAATACATTAGCCTATCGCTTTAGTTAATTGTCCTTTTGGGGCTTTTACAACTGATGTAGTAACCAACGGTTAACGTATCGAAAACCAATAATGTCACACAAATTGACCGATACTGTATCACTAACCGATAGTGTAGTACAATTTGTATCCGATAATATCGATCACACGATTCCAGCAACGGGAAATTATAGTGTGGACCTTTGGGGGACGGAAAATATATATGCTGATGAGTGCCTTATGGTACGAAACAGTCTGTCCAGAAGAGAGATATGCCAAAGTTTGTTTAACTCATATTCTGAATGTATTGCATGTATATATATATGTATTTTTTTTTTTTTTATTCTATAAACTTACCTTATAGCTATAACTTCGCTAAATGGAGAAGACTTTCCACGTTAATTCAAACTTATTTTATGTTTATATCAGCGGGAACGAAGAAAATATACATTTAAAAGAAATTGAATTATATGACACCTTGGGTCTAGGCCTACTTGTTGGGAGTAGAGCCTCTCCTAGCTATACCAAGCAACTCCCAACCTCCCCAGAGTTTACCCTTGATAATGCTAAACTCCCGAGTGTGACGTCTTGATGATGTCATCAAAACGCATTTCTTATAAATGGCATAGAAGGTTTGTTCGAAACTTTGTTCTTATTTTTGGTAAGTTGTATGGCATTTTTGAATTGACATCTTAATGCCGTCTTAGATTGATTTATATTTTATTCTACTAACGAAATATAAGACATAAAATGCAATCGCCTGACGTTGCGAACTTCACCAGTTCGTCTCAAGAGGCAAAACTATTTGTATCACTTAAGATTTCATTTTAATCAATGTGCATATCTAAAGTCCCGGATGTACAGCTAGATAACTGCTGGACTCGCTTTATCAGCTCGGTCAAGAAACTTTGTCCGTACAGGAAATTCAGCATCAAAATGACTGCACATGAAAACAAAAGCATGAACCCATTAAAAACTCGTAATACGGAAAAGCACGTCGTTCTGTTCATCGAACAGACAAAGAGCTCTATTTTTTTCTTTGAGATTGTAAGCAATTAGGATAAAATGCCATTAGGGGTTATCCCTTCTGAAAAAAATGAAATGCTAGTTTCGTCTTCATTATGATGATGAAAAAAAAGTCAACAATCTCCTTTTTTAAACGCTACCTAATTGGGAACGACAACCTTTCATTGTTCTTTGGCAATTCCAGTTGTATGGTCCCTATAAATAGACAAACTCTGCGAAAAATAACAAGCATATAACCACGTTCACTCTTTTCGAAATAATATATTTTGTTTAATATTTGTTGCACATCTCCGGTCTGAACGTTTCGCAAAGCAGGCTCGAAATAAAGTGCAACACAATATAAGTGACGCGACCGTAGCTTTTATGCCTTTGTTCTGCTCCCAGTTCGATGGCCTTCACAAACGTTTCATGCCTAACATACCATATCATTAAATCGATATTGTTTTTGCAGAATTACATTGCTGATGTTTATTAGAGTTAGGGTAAGAGGCTAGGGTTACGGTTTGGTAGGGTTAGGAGAGGGATATAGCTAGGGGAAATTTTGATCAGATAGGGATAATTCCCGTTATTACATCTCCTCAATGTCTTGGTGAGTCAAAACAGGATTATTTTTCCCAAACGCTCCGTCCCACAATTTTAAGATCCCGGTGTCAAAATAACACAACAACACAAGTAAAAATATAATGACAGAGGTTGAAAACTCATTCAGGCTCAGCAAGAAAAACAAACTCGTGCCACAGTACTGACATTGTCAGTACATTTAAAATAATGTTTTATTACTCCGTCTTTGTTTCGTCCAAAATGTCATACTCCAGGGTTGCATATTGAGACATTGCTAAACAGCATCGTAAGTGCCGCTTTAACGCTGGTTGATTTTGTTTCACCAAAAATTATTGAGGTAAAGATCAGACCAAGGCCATCTCCCATATGATTAGTATTGCCTGGATCCAACAACAAGGCGTGCAAAGTATATACATGTACTGATTGTATTAGCTTGCCATCAATGATCCCGTCATTAGACAATAGGTGGTCCTCCTCCTTTTTGGCTATATACATGTAGCAGCAGGCTGTTGTTGTGGCGGGTGGTGGGGAGCAGGCAAAAACCAGGAAGATATAAATTCGAACTTTCTTTCCCACGAGTACTTACCAAGTACATGGTTATCTGGGCATGTATAAACTTTTGTATGATTGAAATTGTTTTGTTGAGCCTCTAGCCATCTATTAAGACACTATGAGATGATACTGTTCACCAAAATACTCACTGAAGGGATTGTGTTAGACCGTAACACCCATACACCGTCATACTGGGAAGTAATTACATGTATTAAATGGAACAATGGCGCCTCGCTGGGTTAAAACATTTAACAAGCCCACCCCACCCTAACAAATACAGAACAAGAAAATAAGGGCAAATATTCTCCTCCATACAAATTGCAGATTCTGCATCTGCCAACGTAACCAATGCAGAAAAAAAGGACATAGGCGTATAGGCCTATGCACCTCTATCGACTTCATTGACAAGTGTATACATAAACTTGGCCTTATTTTCAAAATGACTCAAGCTAACATGGCTTTTTTTTCAATTCGTTAACAGTTTGCAACAGCACCTACCAACTCAAGTCCCGTCAGAAGCTGTTCGCGTTTCCTGCTTTTAATGGTAATGAGTTCGTATTGGACTTCGCCGTTCAGGCCGATCAAGCCGCAAAGATCGTCTTGTCAACGGATGGCACGGGTGGAGGCATCAAGTACCACCTCGGTGAGGAAGAATTTGCACGTTTGTAATGAATTTATACGATTACTAAACGCCAAGTAGAGCTGGGTTTGAACTTGTTGCAAAAACAAAACTTAACGTGCCTTGCCGAGTAGGTCCCCTTCCTGTCCGGCCGGGTCCCGATGGCTTTAACTGCCTACAGTTCAAATAATTTCAATTCAATTTAAAACTCACATTTATTTACATACCAACAAAATGATAAATACAAGCATAGAACACGCGATTAAGTACATAAATCAACAAATACAGTTTGTCTAAAAGGTGACAATCTTTTCTGAGCCTAGGCTTGTGGTGAGATGCCTTTGAAGGACACACACAAAACGGAAACAAAAACGAGTACACACAGACAGTTGGACCGCACTGAGACGGAGCCTAGGCATGAAAATTATAAACTAGAACTGAACGTAAATGTGGAAAGAGAGAACAAACAAATGCTGAAAAACGAAATGAAAAGCAAGCTGCGTTACATATTTAGAGATGAGAGCTCTTTTTATAGGCGTGTTTGAAGCGACCCACAGATGAAAGAAATGTTAAAGATTCGTCAATGGCATTCAAGAGACGAGGCACGCAGAAACAAAGTGTTTTTAATTAGTATGGTGTGCGTGTGTAGGATACATACAAATGTGATTTGTTACGCGAACTGGTTGGATACCTATGAGTGTCACAAACTGTATTAAAGAAAAAAGAAAAAGGAGAAGGGTAATACAGTTTTAGTAAATGTTTACATAAATATGCCCGTATGAAGTTTTTTTATTTCTGGAAGTGTTAAAGTATGCAACTGATAGAAAAGGGGTGGAGTGTGCTCCCGGGGATGTAACGATGTGCAAATCCTATATGGTTGTTTTTGAGTGATGATTAGTTAATGGAGTTTGTTATGATAGAAGCTCAGGCCCATACAATATTACAAGAGTAAATCGTTTAAGATATGGAAGAATTAGAGAGTTATAAAGTAAGATAAATGATTTAGGAGGAAAAAAAGCGCGAAATTTAGACATGACACCCGTTTTTCGTGATGATGAAGTGATGTCCATCACTCAAAATTCTGCACCACTAAGTGGGAAGCACTAAGAAAGCGGACGCAGCGCGTTGTTGGTGTGAATGAATGAATGAGCCCTGTGGATTGGGTCAATTAACTGTGGATAGGGAGGATTAACCTATGGATAGGGTGGATTAATCTGTAGATTGGGCGGATTAAATTGCGGATTGGGTGGATGACCTTGGGGATCGGGTGGATAACCTTTGGTTTGGGCGCTTTAACAGTGGTCATCGGGTGGATAAACCTGTCGATTAACCGGCGGATTATACGGTGGATTTGAGTGGCTGATTAGGGCGGTGTAGCCAAGGATTTGGGTGAAAGATAGATTTGGGTGACTGACCGATTGCTTAAAAGAAAACTACACCTCAAATCAGATACATAATGGACATTAAAGCTGACACAAGAGATTAGTTGGGTTTATTCTCACTTGCTCTGCCTTTTATATGCAAACACAATCCCTATACCTCAATTTGCAATAATGCACATCATTTCCCAAACTGCAGAGAATGGTTGCTGAAGTGGTTAATAATAATTACGTATGGCTAATACTTCGACATTTTCAAGCAATGTATAGCTTACTTTAAATGTATAGTATTTCCGCTTAGGTAACATTTCTAAAATCTCAAATGACATCCATAGAGCAAACTTGTTTATTATTTGATATCAGGTCGGAACACGTAATAAAAGAGGCATAGTATTGTCGCGTCAGTGCAACAAGGTATTAAACTCGATTCTCAAACAAAGTCGTATCTCGCGCAAACATGCTCTGTGCATACGGCTTTGACACGACGATACGTAAGTTTCATTGATCTATTGTTATGTGCATTCTGCATTCACAGTTCTTGGGCAGACCGGTAATACCAGGACCACCATCCGAAGATGCTTTTCGTGCTACGTTCTGAAACTTGTATCGACCCCGGGGGTGTTGAGCGCGCACAAGATGCGACGCTTCTGGCTGCGGTACGACCACGGCACCTTTGCCCTAGGCAAGCACCAGCAGGCAGCGTTCTTCGAATGGACCGACCCAACACCCCAAGACATACCCATGAGGTTCTTTGGCTTTGTTAGCTATAATACGCCCCAAATCTGGGCAGCCTATCATACATGCAACTGATGCCCACATCCCAGGGAGATTAAGTGGTCTATTTAAGGTGGTGAAGCTTCAGCTGTTGTCAACATGCTGTTTTTAAACGAACGAACGCACATACTTTCATGTTTTCGTTGATTCTAGCGTCCTTTAGTGTCCCTTGGTGTCGAATTGCTCCAGTTTCTTCAGCAAAAAATCTCGCATGCTCCTGACCAGTAGAAAACCATAATATTTTGGTTTAAATAATTTTAGAAAATGTTTCATTAATTTCACCGTGGTCACTTATTGGCCAAATATACTCATGTGCAATATTTTTTTTTTCTGTGTGTTTTCTCGGAATATGTAGTTGAAAGATTGTACCCAGCTCTCATGAGGTGATCTCTGTCTTGAATATTGATGCTTTGCCAATTCATCAATGTCGTTTTTTTTTGTATACATGTATACATAAATGCACATGTACATGTCATTCGGGGCTATTGTTTTTCCTGTCAGACGACCCTTCTCAGAACCTAAAAAATCCGTAAAACAACTATTACAATTGAAATGGCCTTATCAAAAAAGGAATCCAATTTTGGGGGACAACTTTAAAAACGAAGATTTTCCCCCACAAAGTGGATATAGTGCCCTCTAACCGTATCTGTGTATGGCAGGGATGGCTTGCTTTAAAATATATTGACCATGGTTATGTCTCTACCAAATCCAAATTTGAATAAAAAATCATGTAAAAATTAATGCCATTCAAGTTTTTGACTGAAATTACACTTAGCTGGAGTCAGTGTGAATAAAATCACTTCCACATTTCTTTGTTTTTTATTGTCCCAGCCACGTGGTAGCCATGCCCAGGTCATCTATCACTAGATCCTAGTATGGACCATGGTACATCCACTAGAGGGGGTGTCAGTCTTGTGATCCTACTGGAGGGGTTGGAAATTAGCGGGAAAACCTAGTGTGCTTGTGCGCATTTACATAGGCTGTGTACAAATGCATTGTTCACATAGGGATTACCTCGATCACCCCTGTGACCAAAATGGAACTGTCAAATGGCATTGAGGCGGTTAGTGTCTGGTTTTATTGACTGCTTAGGGCCTGAGGGATACCAGAGGTTAATCTGGGGTGAATGGTGGACTTTGAGGGCCGGGTAGCTCAAATCTTCTGTGCCAACCAAAGCAAATTCAAATAATCTCGTATTTTAGATTATTTACGGTGCCATTTGTTTGTTCGCTCGTACCTCCCGCCCTGCAAACAGGACGCTGGGATACTGTGATGAATTCACGCTCTGATTGGTTGGATTTTGCGTGACCAGTGACCTGCGCGTCATCAAGGTCATGCTCTACATGGTTTGAAATGGCCGTTCAGATTGATTCATTACTCTTTTATTCCAGTTTAGAGATGTTTTTTCTCGTCAAAAAAGCGTAATAACGTAGGAAATCCTGTGAAACTCATCTGTGTTGTAAATTTACAATTCCCGCTACTCGCTCAGGCTCCGTTTTGAATCACGAACTGTCGGATTGCATTATGCGACGCTCACAATTTTGTCCACATGGTCCGCAATGAAACAGATATCACATCCGGTATGGAATGCTCGCAATTCTATGAAAAGTTTCTGATAGCATTTGAGCACATTGTCTAAATGCGGTCTTGAACAGTTGCAGCCAGATGCTTTAATGATAGGTCATAGGCTATTTCCTTTACAAGATTCTGTGAAGCTCGTCAGAGTATCCCAGCGTCCTGTTTGCGGGGAGGAAGGTACGAGCGAACATTTTTTTGGTTCTAGCTACCGGAAAGAAAAACCATTTTTGTGCCATATTTTTATAACAAGCCCATGGATATGAAAATAGAAATGGAGCACAATGTACCTCTTCCCTGTTATTTATTAAACGGGTTAAGTAAACAATTAATTAACAAAACGTTCAAATTAAAGATTTTAACATTATTCATAAACACCTAAAACAGTTGACCTATTCACATTGGTCGAGAGCCAGTCACGTGGCCGGCCTTGAACAGATGATAAAGACCGGCTGGTTGGTCACAAACACTTTTTTTAGTGTAACATTAAATTGGGACTCCTATGAAATCCTGGGCCTTTAACCGTTTTGTTGGTTTGGCTTTCACAATCCACATGTGGGCATGCGCACTACTACCTGTGAAACAGTATTTCAATATAAGTACATCTTATAAATATTCACGATCAAATTTGGGCATGTCATTGGCTGATTCCACCCCTTGTTCGTAGTAAGCATGATACGCGCCCATGTGACAGTCCGTGTAATTACACTGCAGTAAATGTACATTAAAGAGTGTTGGGACCAGACTATTTCATTGAGTAACAAAGAACTTGAATAAATTGTGCTGAATAAAGATACAAACAATCTCCGTAGGGCCGTTGTCGACTTGGCAGTGAGGCTTATTTTACGCCTGGCCTCCCGCTTATTCTCAATAATATTGAGTGCTTCTCACTTCTCACCGGTAATCGCTAAATCGAATCGCGTGCATCACATATGGCAACAAAAGATGCGCATGCGGTTAAAATCAACTGCTGGGGTTACAACAAGCTGCGGGCTTTTAGTGGATTGTCATTGTATTCAGCAACTTGTTTTTAACCAAGATTCATTACCTCCTGTATACAAACAGTGCTACATTATAATGACAGCGTTACAGGTTATTCTTATCGCCATGATCTTCTGTGCTAATTTCTCTATATCAAATGGATCCCCACCAGTCAAATATTCGAACAATTTCGAAGTAGTCGAGCACGGCAATGACAAGACGGTACCGCGAGTGCAACGCGTATTTGCCTCCTCCATAGCGGGATCCAAGCATCGTTGCGCCGTGAAATGCTTGAAGAACGATCGCTGCTGGCAGTTCTGCTATGTAGCAACCACTGGCCAATGTGTGCTGCAGGATGCCTCCTTAGCCCCAAAGTCTGGAGGGCCGTCCAAAGTCGACAACTGCACTTATTTCTCGAGAAAAGGTAAGGATATAAACATTCGTTCACAATGCAAATCTCTATCCATAAAGTGTTTAACGTGGCCAGTAGCCCCCCCCCCCCTTTTAATTTGTTTATTTTATTTTATTTTATTTCATTTATTTATTTATTATTTTTTTTTTTGCATCTCGGTAAAGTCATTGGCAGTAATACGAATGCTTTAAAAAAAGATCACGTGAACGAATAAATATTGATTCGACATACGTCGAGGAGCATGTAGTCGCTTTTACTTCTCATTCATGGCTCTGGAGGTAGCTCTTAAGTTAAGTCCGAGAACCAACAATGAGTAATTGCGCTCAGGAGAAAGAATTATTATGGATTTACTGGCTATTTTAAAACAGTTTTCGTTTGAATTTGCCAATTATTATATTCAAATTCGCCAGCAACATCAATTCATTGCACTTCACAATTTGTATTTGTCTTTTTTCGAAAATTTAAAATTAAGTCCGAAAAATTCAAACAATGAGCACACCTTTTCGACCCAGAGTATTCAGAAATCAAGTTTACCCAATGCCACACAATTTAAAACCTATTGAGTTGATGAACGTTGCACTTCATAGCGATATCTTCAAAGACTTATAGGGGAATTTGAATAATATAAGTATTAAAGCAACATAGAAAACCAATATTAAACTAGTGGTTATATTGAAGGCCCCTCCAGAGGTGGCACAACTTTTTACCCCGCAGCTTCGTCGTTATATAAATATATGCAATACAAATCCAGGCCCTATCTTTAATCAAGTCACGGTACGTGGACCACTTATCCAAACAACTCTGTTATTATCCCTCTTTCCCGGTAATGGACAATTCACCTGAGGAAGCCGGATGGTCTGCTGCTGATCATCAACCCTAATTACAATATACCTAAGTGCTGCAGAGGCTGTACCACACTGTTACCAGTTTACTTATAGGAGTCCAGGTGTTTGTGTTGGTGTCGTGTGCGCTGTGGCCCAATGGTTACGGTGTTCGATTCGTGTGGCTTGGTACGTGGATTCGAACAATGAAGGGGAACGTGGTGCTTGTGCTCTTGGGCAAGACACTTTACTGAGATTGTCTCTCTCCACCCAGGAGTATAAATGAGTACCTGTGAAGGTAGAGACCAGGTTGTGCTGATCTCGAGCAGCTGCGGAAAAAGTGGTCTCATTCCTGATGAAATTTGAGCAAGTCCAACGTGATTGCGATAAGACTAACGCTGTTATTTAAAAAAAAATGACATAAATATACACCCCAAAAAAATAATATCAAAAATGGTGGAATCTTTCATCTAAAGCGCACTCATTCTGTTTCTGACAATTTGAACTGTTTATGATATCACTCTTGGCGAACCTATAACATGTATTCCCATTATGCAATCATTCTACTTAATTGAATCGGAGTGGCTAACAAAATCATGGAGCCAATGAAGTAGTAACGAATAATTAAAAAAAAAAATACCCCTTAAATTCACCGTTCACATGGAAACTTGACTTATTGTTTACACCTATAACACGTATTTTTCCCAAAAGGGGGCTTAAATAAACACATTTATCAGATCCCTGAGTATTACCATTCGTCTCCACCAAATCGAGGTGTTTTTTTAAGAAATCAAATTCGTGTAATGCAACACAATTTAAACAAAATTTGATTTAATTTCGTCATACTTCTTAGTAATATCTTTAAAGGCATATAGGCCTCCAGTACGGGTAGGCCCCGAATGATATTGCTAATGCAGCCTAATAGGGTAAGGGTTTGGGTGAGTGTTGGTGTTAGTTAAACTACTGATGACGTCATCATCTGAAAATACGAAAAGTTATATATCGCTATCTTAGAGAGAGACAAAAAGATTCTTCGTCAAAACAAAACCAAATTGCCGAACGCTACGTTGCATATTTTGAGATCCTGGTTTCACAATTCCTGCAATAGCACATGCTAAAATCCTATCACATCCATTCTATAGTCATGCAGGTTAAGCAAGAAAAACAATTTGGCGCGACTATTGAACTGACAAAGGGATCACCCCAACCCAATAATATCAAAGACACAAAAAGATAAATCCTCTCCTCTAAAAAAAGCTGCAGATTCTAAACCGTCTATTATGCAAAAATGAATAGTTATAGTGGGTACCTTAGTGAAAAAAAATCGTGATACGTTGGACAAAAGCACCATTTTTTTTACCAAAGCATCTCCATGGTATACCTTTTCGAGAAAAAAAAACGGACGCAAAAAATTGGATGATGGGAAGGGCATGTATGACGCATTATGACGTCATCAGCTAATTATTACATGAAATATATATAAATTGATAATATCTTCTGAACTACAAACATCACAACAACAAAAGTCACATCAAATGAAAAAGAACAACAAGATCTTTCATTGAAGTGGTATGTCAGGGGCGTGGAATGTAGTACAGGAAGGTATTTTGGGCCAACAAGCACTTTTTTGGTCAACAAAACTGATTTTTGGCTAAAATCATGTATTTTTGTTTGGCACCTTGTTTAACATGCAAACCGTATGTGTTATTGTGAGATTTTGTTTTCAAGTCAGAGAAAAAGGTTCAAACTCTATGCGAAAAGAGTTTTTGCAATTGATTATTATTTTTTGAAATTTATTATTAGTATCTTAAATGCTTCAACTTGTTCCTTAGATAGGTGGAAAAAACCGCAGTTACCGTATGGAAAGTTATCATCATTTTAGGGTAATGGCCGAAATGGGACTTAAGATTTCCTGTATTACCTTGATAAGGCCCAAAAAAATAGTTCTGCTTCCCATTACATGGCATTTGAAAACAGGGTTGGTAGGTAAGGATTGACTACGTCTGCGTGTAGTCAAGGGTGAAAGGGAGAAATGTATTGTTTTGGGTTCTTTTTTTTCTAATTTTTCTCATAAAACAAATTAGGGTAGGGACAGTCAGAATAGGGTTGGTAGGGAAACCGGAAGCAGAACAGTTTACTATCATTTTTCGGGGCCTAATACATGGTTCAGTTACCAGCAAATGGATTGTATGCATTACTTTTATCAATGCATTTCCAGTTTGAGGAGACTTTTGAATCAAGACCTCCAACAAATTATGCATAGGCCTACGTTCTTTTTATATATAGAAAGTAAACAAGCTTTAACGCTGCAACAGCCCACAAATAAAAGCTTACCACTTCGTATTCATTATGTTTAATCTGATTGTTGAAACCAATGCATTTAGTGGTGAGACTCTTGTTTGCGTCTCAAAGTGCCTGAAAATGTAAAGTTGTCGTGGAATCGCCCATAAACAATCAGAATAAGTCAGGAGTAAGCCTAATCCATTTGGGGTCAAATCGGTTAAGATGTGCTGGGGTGAAATGGAGAAATGAGCAGCCCTATCTCCACCGAAGTACTTCATTGCATAGCTCAGCGTCTCAACATTATCATCTTCCAATACAATTCTAAGGACCAGTTCTACGAGGAACTCAACACCACCATCATACGTATCCCTGTCGTAGAACAACTGTACCTCCTTGGCGAATTCAACGCCCGAGTGGGATCTGACCACAACTCCTGGCCCAGCTGCATCGCTCACTTAGGCGTTGGCAAGCTAACTGAGAATGGGCAGAGGTTGCAGAGGCAACTCGGATCCCGGTGTCACATGAAAATCCGACTCCTATGAAAATCGGACCCCTTTTTCCCTATTATTGGTTAATACCTCGCACGTGACAGGTCATTCTCCCGAAACGATCCTAAAAATAGCGTAGTATCGTACTTACGCGTGCGCAATACTACCAATGAGTCCACATTTCATGGAGTCGGATATTCACGCTACACCGGCACTGGCTTCAGCTTCATCTCATCATCACAGGAAGACCCTCACGAAACTGCGTTCTCATCACACGCAGCGCTGACTGTAATACAGACCACTCTCAAATAAACAGATCCACCACTCAAGGCAAAAAAAGACGCCCATACTTCAAACATCGCCAGGACGTCAATCCCAGATCTGTGCAACACGAAGAATCTCCCACCTCGGTATCGTTAAGAAGGCCTTCGCCCTTGTAGTGCTGAACAGATCGCAGCTGCTAGCTGAGCACATATACCCTGAGAGGCAGTGCGGTTTCAGAGCTGAAAGATTAAAGATCGACATTATCTTCTCCATAGTCTTCGACTTACGGCAGCTCCAGGAGATGTGCTGAGAGCAGCGACGACCGATGTACTGACCGCCGACCTAGCCGATGAAGCCGTTTGACCTTCGTCAGTAGAAAAGGCCTATCAGGCTACTGCAGAAGATTGGATGTCTCCAAGTCATCGGACATATGATGTGCACAACAGCTGAGCACTGCCGAACACTGGATGTGATCTGGATCATCTCTAGCAACATGTCTGCAACGAGGTTAACACAAACTCGAGTGCAAATACCTTACCAGTTCGTTGGTGCGTCAAAAATACGGAGACAAGTGGAGAAACCAACCCTCCCAATGAAGGCATATAATGTTTCCGGAATCATCTGCCATGGTTCGATACACCTTATGGGTAAACCAGCAGAATGACTGGCAACATGAGAAGTTCCAAGTGGTCAATGTGCCAGGACCAGCTATCAATGGGCTCCCTACTATACGAGCCGCACGTACCCTACGAGCCGCACCCTACACGCACCCTGTTAAAACGAGCCGCACCCTGTTAAAAGAAGTATCCCCAATAATCTTCTAAATAATTCCCGAGATTACCAGAACACAATGAAGACACAATGGGGGTGGGGGTACACCCTGCCACATATCGTGCACCAAATGTTGGAATAATGAGGCTTGGATGACAATCCTGTTATTTGTTTGGCATGTTAATGTAACCCGGAAAATTAATAAACTTGGAAAATGATAAATGTATTGAGAATAACGCTAAATGTTAGGGTATTCGCTGTCAAAAATGAGGTAGACCTAGATGGGGTAGGAACAAGTTGAAAGGAATTTGAATAAATAGCAACAATGACAAACACACTTTTGGAAAGACAACAAAAAAAATGATTTATTTTACCAACCAAAATATGAAGAAAACCATTAAAAAAAAAACAATAATCAAAAAGGATCAAAATTAGCTTTTTCCCAAACCTTAAACCTGTTATCCCCACAACCAAATAAGAAAAATGGTAGTACTACAGTCGACTTTTGTTATAAAGAGCACTTTTATACAGATGTCCTACTTCTGCTTATAAAGAGCAAGTTCTGAGGCCTCAAATCTATTGTTCTCTTTGTGTTTCTTTGTTTCGCTGTCCTTTTAAAGCGACATTTCTGTTTAAAGATGTAGTTTGGGCGGTCTCCCCGACCTTGCTATTACGAGAGTCAACTGTACCAAACTAAATTGAACTTTAAACTTAAATAGAAGTTGAAAGAAGAAAACTGAACCAACACAGTATCAAAATAGGATGACACATGGAACGACCTAACGATCAAACTCGAAAAAAAAACAATTGAATATAAATCAAGAAAATCTTTTTCCTTATAAAATTAACTCAAACTGAAACTACTAGACCCACATTTGGATGTTTTTTTCTCCAAAGATAGGAAAAAAAGCTAACTGTGTAATCCATACAAAGTCTAACTTTAAAAAACAAGAACATTCACTGTCTTCCAATAACAAACCATGATAACCCTTTGTTTAAACAAAAAATACGTCAAGGCAGAGATCATGGAACCACCACTGCAAAAATGTTGTTAAAAAAGGATGTAATACAAAAAAACATAGTTGATGAAATTAAAAACATCCCATTGTTTAAAAAAGTGTATTTAATTTGACCCTCCAGTTACAGGCTGAAAACATCAAATCTAAGATGGCTGCCGGATGTAGCGGCCATTTTGAATTTCTAAAAGGCATTGCACACTAGTTGTTTGCATATTGATAGCACGCGACTAGAGAACGGGTACTACTATCAAAATGTTGACCACTTTGTGATGAGTCAGCAGTTGTTTCACCGATTGTAATCTTCATGAGCCCATCTTCTTGACCTGGTGCTAAACAATGAAGAACTGAACCAAAGGCTTCCTTTGCCTTCCTTCTATAATAAAGGATGATGCTATCAGATGCTTCTTCTAATGACAGACGAAGCTGCCCATCAACAGCAGTCATTGCACCCTGAGTAAGGAAAGTGTTCAGGGATTGCAGCTCCACATTCTTTGGTCGGGGGGTTGGAGCCCAAGAAGAGTCAAGTGCACCTACATCCTGTGTAATATCTCGATCAGTTAATGAGGACTCAGATGTATGCAAGAAAAAAATCATGAGAAAATAAAAACAGTGAGATGCGTGCTACATATAGCAGGGTTGAAATACAAATGTATGTACTCAAAGAAGAGTGCTTACAATTCATCAGTGATAAATGAGATGCAATATGTCAAGGTCCCTTCTTAGTTCACTCTCATTACCTCATGAACTGAAGTGCACGCTGTGTCGGTGGGTTGGAGAGATGATACACCAGCCGGCGATGTGAAATCACTGATTGTACACTGCTGCTCTTCTTGTTCCTTAGAGCGCACATCGCTAGGTAATTTTTCCGCTGTCTGGTGCGTAACTGCTTGTTTGTGCCTTAGTGTATTTATCGACGTCGAACAAACCACATCGCAGGAGGATCAGTTTCCACTCGACTTTCACATCATATGCAGCGACTTTCCACTTCTGCAAATAGCTCCGTATGTTTTTTTGTGCATCGATTAAGTTGCACTGTATTTAGTTCGCGCGGATAAGAGGGATTTACACCACATTCGATGGCTTTGCAATACTCAAAATTACTAAAATCGCATTGCAGCTGCACAGACAACATGTCCATGGCTGCCATTTTGACGGTGATGTAATGCGAGGGCGTCTTCTTTCAATACCGCGCGCTCACTGGGTGGGCGGCAACAGGACGTTCCCCTCCTACCGGATCAGTGCGCACCACCAAAGGTAGCCAACTCAACTCACCCAACCAATAAGTGAAGTCTGCAAAATGTAGATTTTGTTACGCTACAACAATTCCTGCAAAAATGTCATTTAAGGGCAACCAATTGCGCTCGGAACTGTCTAGGGGGCTATGTAGGTTTGGTCTTGAAAAATAGGAATTTTTCAACTTTGTTGACCGTGAGCAAACAAAAACAAGAAGAGCTGACAGTTGTTTTATTTTTTATTATTGTAGTCGGATATCTGAACTATATTTTCACCAGGTTTGTTGACTCTCAGCCCTGCATTAATTAAGTTATGTTTTACCGCATAAATAACTTCATTTCGTCAGAGAGCTGATACGTGTTTTTCTTACGCCTTTATCTCTGCAGTAAATTGTTGCATATCCAAGATTTATATTTCATCGTTTAGATGAGATTAAATCCTTTCTTTTGATATGTAGGTCGACAGTAAACGATTTAGTTTAAGGGAATACACGAGGCTATAATGTTACACCAGAAACAACACAAATTTACTCCCCTGAAGTCACCCTTTTTTTGCTCAAAATTGTCGGTGCCCCGTACTCGGCCACCGTGTGATTATTTATTGAGCTGCTCCACCGAGTGGTCTCGTCTCAGGTGGGGATCAAATGGCCAAGATTTGAACTTAATTCGCCGACCCCCCACCTTGTCAATTTTTCAAGATTTTGCGACTTTCGTCGCCCATTCATCAGCTTATCAGTAAGCCAAGATAATAGTCCCCCAAAAAAATATTGATGGCAAGATAAGCTAGATGCCTTGATGCGTTGGAACAATCACCGCGACGACATTGCAGTATTCGGTCTCCCTTGAAGAGCATGACCAGCGGTCGAATGTTTCATCGCCCTGGTGGAAACTGCTGGTTCCTTAGCATAGTCAACAATGTCTCACACTACACCCCAAATTGCGCAGACAAAGTTGCTCCCTTCAGCGATCTTCTTCGAAAAGATGTACAATTTCTCTTAGAAGAGGACCATCAAGCTTCTTTTACTACCCTTAAACACTCCATCTCAACTCAGTCCTGGCTACGATTCTCCGACACACAGGTATAGAAACCATCCTCAAATTAGATGCATGTGAAAGAGGATTGGGCAACACCCAGGAAGGTAAACACATCGCATTTTCCTCAAAGAGCCTATAGATCCTCTTCCCAGAGCATATTCTCGAATATCGAGAGGGAAGCTGTGGCACTGCTGCAACTTCATTCGGCTCCAACTTCATTGTTGTCACTGACCATTAAAACCATTGGTCACGATCTTGCGCAAAATCCTAGCCAGTGCACCACACCGCTTGCATCGTCTTAAGCTACAAGGATACAAATTCGACGATGTCTACAATCCTGGTGCTATGATGGTGATCGCAGATGCACCCTGCAGATTGCCCAACCCCTCCAAGCTCGACAACGAGACATATGATGAATCTGTAACTTAGATACACTGGGATGGGCACCCGACTGTAACTTATGTTACATTTTTTGTCCGCCTATCTTTGGAATAAGTTTAAACATTTAAGATACCAATAATAAATTACGAAAACTCTCTTGGCATAGTATTTGAACAATTCTGTCTGACTTAAGAACCAAAACTCACAATACCACTTACGGTTTGCATGTTAAAACAAGGTGCCAAAATGATTACCCCAAATCCATGATTTGAGCACCATTTTTGTTATTTACAAAAAAAGGGCTTTTTGGAAAAAAAAACACCCTGTACTACATTCCATCGCACTGACATACCACTCAAATAAAAGATCTTGTTGTTCCCTTTCATTTGATACTACATTTGTTGTTTTGATGCTTGTCGTTCTGAAGATATTATCAATTTATATGTTTTTATGGAATAATTAGCTGATGACGTCATAATGACGTCATACATGCCCTTCCCATCATCCAATTTTTAGCGTCCGTCTTTTTTTCGAAAAGGTATACCATGGAGATGCTTTGGTGAAAAAATGGTGCCTTTGTCCACCGTGTCACGATCCTTGGCATTTTTGTCACTAAGGTACCTCACTATTATGGGTATACAGGCCTATACTAACTTGTCTTTCGACTCCATTAACACGTAAATAATTGAGTCTTATAACCTGCGCCAAGGAGGTTATGTTAGCATCTGATTTAGTGGCTGGTTGGTTGGTTTGTCCATTACCAAGATAGCTGAAAAAATAATGGACGGATTTGCTTGAACAGTTTTAGGGGTGGTCCATGGTACAAGTTCACATCGATTATCTGGAAGAAATCTGGGTTTCGGTGGAGGATTTTTTAAAGATTCTTCACCATTTAAGCGACTATTTCTATTGGTCGTGCTGAGAATATGGCGGGGAATAGTTTAGCCTTGGCGGAGGTTTGCGCTCTCTTAGTGCTTTCTAGATTTTACATACTCGAGCTTACTTTTCCTTTTTTTCAATTTGTTAACAGTTTGTAGCAGCACCTACCAACTTGAGCCCCGTCAGAACCTGTTCGCGTTTCCTGCTTTTAATGGAAATGAATTCGTATTGGACTTCTCCGTTCAATCAGATCGTGCAGCAAAGATCGCCTTGTCTACGGATGGCACGAAGGCAAACAGCAAGTACCATCTAGGTGAGAAAGAAAAATACACGCTAAATACGAAATCACAGTATTACTAAAGGCCATGTTCAGTCGAGTTTGAGCTTCATATGGTGGAGATGCAATAAGAAATTAACGGGCGTCGCCGAGTAGGTTCCCAGCCTGTGCGGCCGGACCCCGATGGAGTTAAAGCACCTGCAGTTGTAGGCCACATCACTTTAGTCTGAGTATCACCCGCTATCCACGGAGCCAAGTCTCCTGTTTAACGTCTGGTATGTCTAAACATGCAAATATATGCAAGGCGCGCCAGCCAATCGGAGTGGACTTAACTTAATCGTGACGCCATTTCATTCTCAAATCAGGACTAACACTGTGATTGGTTAATTCAAATCCAGCGTTTTGTAATGCAACAACAGCCACGCGGGTGACCAAGCCTTTGTTGCTCGGTCCAGCGGGGTTATTTTTATCCATGTCTAGACGCAAAAAAGGTGAATGACCGAAGACCCGACATAGAAAGAGCCCGCTGATTGGTCAAAATCTACATGTCAAGATGCGGTTGTATTGCCTAATTAATCAGTGAATCTGAATTCTGCACCACTGCGTTGGAAGGACCAAGCGCGTTGTGGGTTGGGATGAGTAGATTTGGTGGATTACCCGGTGGATTGGAAACATTGACCTGTGGATTGGGTGGATAATGAAATACCCTGTACATGGGGTGGATTAACGGTGGATTTGGATGAATTCCCAGGTGGCATGGTGGATATAAACTGATAAGGCTTGCTGATAAGGGCGGAGAAATTGGTGGATTTATTATCAGAGACCGGTGGATTTGCGTGGCTTTAGGGCAAACTGTACCTCAAATAAAAAAAAAAAACCACAAGATATTGGTTCCACTTCTTCGGTTTCACCTCGAGAAAATGAACCGAAGTATATAATGGGGTTAATTATTACCGGATCTGCCTAAACTCACAATCTTAGTTATAGAGGAAATTTGTTCAGACCGAGAGAGGTTGTCGTCGATAAGAACTCCAAAAAGTTGGTCGAATAGACTCAAACATTTGAACTGCCATCAATAAAGATGGGGAATGTATCAGTTGGCGGCGTGCTGGACTTTGTCAAAAGCATGCTCACGAAGACAAACAGCGTTATCAAAGTTCTTTAGTTGTCTTTTGTTGGTCGTTCTGGCCTGAGATAAGCTCATTAGAATCAGTTGCCAAAGTGTTGGACAACTGTTACTATAGCACGGTTGCATAATGTATGGCTAAGACTACTCAGGTTTCAACAAATATATAGCTGGTGATACGATTCGTCACCGACATCACGAAGTGACACTCATGTACATACCAGTGGAAATTAGCAATCGAAGTAAACGGCATCTAATGTTAAACGCCTTCTAGAACGACATTTTGCGTCAAAACTATTGAGTATTATCAGTAGGGTTTCTCGTTGTGGACACTTGATGTATTGATGTTATTAAATTTGCTGTTTTTTACCCGTTTGTGTATTAAAACAACAAGAAATAACAGAAAAAAGGTGAGTATTATAAATCGTGAAACCGAAAAGCTGTGAAAGTGTAAATTCTTGTTTTCACGAAGTAGCATGCTTCAATTTATTTAAACACAAGCGAGCGCGCTAAAACAAGGGGAGTGTTTCTTCGTGAAAATGTTTTTGCTCGCATTTGAGCATAGTGCACGCCATGCATTACAGGATTATAAGTATTTTACGTATAGGTAACGTTTCCTAAGCCTCCAAGGACGTTCGTTGAGCAAACTTGTTTATAATTTGACTAGGGAAGCTTTTGAAAAAAAAAATAATGTGTAAGATTCATATGAACTTATTTCATGCATTTTATATTCACAGTTCTCGGGCACGGCGATAATACAAAGACCACCATCCGAAGATGCCATTCCTGCAGTGTACTGCATTCTGTAACAACCCTGGGTTTCTTGAGCGAGCACGAGATGCGACGCTTCTGGCTGCGGTACGATCACGGCGCCTTCGCCGTAGGCAAACACCAGCAAACAGCGTTCTTCGAATGGACCGACCCACAACCCCAAGATACACCCATGCGTTTCTTTGGTTTTGCTAGCTTTAATGAACCCCAGATTTGGGCCGCCTATCATACATGCAACTGAGTTTCACATCCCAGGGAAACTATGTAGTCGATGTGAGGAGGTAAAGCTTCAGCTATTGCTAGTGTGCTGTATGGGAACTTACGAACGTGCATAATATTTCTGTCAAAATCAGACTTTTCTGGGCATAAGGTCGAAAATGATATTTTTACATATTATTATTAACATATGTTCTTTTTCCTTTTAATAAGTGGTTTAATTTTGGAAACGGCAGAGTTATGCTATTTTGAACTTCATTGCGTCGAAAAGTAGAAAACGGAGAAAATGGCCACGAACGTCACAAAACAGTTATTTCTTTAACTGATACACCTTATCAAAATCATCAAAAATAGCATATGTAGAGTTCAAATTAGGGTTTCAAACTTTTATAATATAGTTTAGACATGTTCAGGATTACAAATATGCAAACATTTGTAAATCGATAAAAATCACCCCCACAGCGTTTTTTGGCCCTATCTCAATTTCAACCTCTGCCCAGAAGCGTCTGCTTTTGACAGAACAGGTCACATATGTGCATGTTCACGTCTGATTTTATATATCTAGCGCACCCTTGCTTTCTTTTCTGATTGCTTCTGTTGCTTAAAAAATATCTTCTACTTGTGCAGAGTGGAACACAATTTTGTTTTGAACAATTTAACGTACGTTCCATTGAGTTCACTCTTGTGACCTTTTGGAGCAATGTACTAATTTTCACACAGTGTACTAATTATTACTTGTGTATTTTTGTCAAATGTTGTTTAAATATGTACATAACTCTTGTATAATGATATTTTTTGTTTTTCCGTAAGATCAAATAGCCTACTCTCACGCTGCTTGCAAGCTTCTTCGGGAATCAGTGCCAACGTAGCGCTCTAGACCAAACCCTTTTCAATCTGACGCTTGTATTGCTTTTTTTTTTTGCAGCGCCATTCTTTATTTTTTAATTATTCCCAAGAAGAGGCTCACAAACAAACGGATGATATCCACAAGCTTCAAACTACGAACTAAGTGACCATAAATATTGTCACAATTTTATTGTACACTAGGTGTAATTCCTAAGTTTTTTTATTTATATTTTGCCAGGAAACTTCCTGGTCTAAACTAAAGTTCGTTTTGAACGGGTCTGACACCTTTTGGAGTGTAGCTGATGACATTCCAGAACCAAAGCTTTTCCAAAGACAAGAGACCATTCAGAGCGACTTCAAGGTTTGAATTAGGAACAGGCTGATCTTCCGAAAACCAAAACTTTCCCAAGACGGAAGACGACTCTTAGCTAGAGAGCAACCTCAAAGCCTAAGCTAAACTTAACCATAAACCAACAAGAAAGGCGCTGTATCATAAGTCTGGCGCCTGATAGGTCCAACGCCTCATGCGTCCGACATTTCGGACTTATGAGGCGTCGGACCTACGAGGCATAACATGTATTTATTCCGCGTCATAGGTCCGACGCCCCATACGTCCAATGCCTCATAAGTACGACGTCGGAAAAACAAGGCGTTAAAATTGTGGGACACACGAAGCGTCGGAGCTATAAGGCGTCGGATTTATGAAGCGACGGACTTATGGGCCTTTATTCGGTTAGGGGCTGCGATTTTGTAGGTCTTATTAGGCGTCGGACCTATGAGGCGTCGGAGGTATGAGCGGACCTGGCAAGAAATACAACATAACAACAGTATTATCGGTACAACAAATATGTAAGCAATAATCAAGAAAAATTCAGTAACAATTGGGACCTAATTAAGCTGTTCTTATAATAAGCAACAGTGTAAGCAATACACCACAATGTAAGCAATGCTCTACTAAGTCAGCAATAAGCAAAAGTTTAAACAATGCGTACCAATGTAAGCAGTAAGTAATGTACACCAGGATTTGACGTATCAGTTTCAAGGTAATAGAACGATGCGTGACCAGATATGCAAGATATCATTGTTATGCATACTGTCCCTACCTTATGATACAACCATAAGTAATAGTGGTTTGGGCATATTAATTACTTGTTTGTTGGTATTTTTGGGGAGACACCCGGCATAATAATCGAGGCGATAAGATGGTTTAAGAGAGGTTGTTAATCTTTCGTCGTCTTGTCATGAATGAGCATCCTAAAGATACTGAAGTTTACTTGACTTACAATGGAAATACAATTTCAGAAACTGGTTTGTAAATAATAACTGTTATAATTATTTCAGTTTTGCGGGGTTATGAAATATATCACCGGTTTAATGGTGAATAATGTCAATATCGGATTATTTGTAAGTATTGTAGTTTAAAATAAGAAACAAAAACTATGTGTCAGTTGTCGAAGTGGCGTATATGGCTGTTTTGGGAATGAACTGTTGGTAAAATACCAAATAAATGTATATATTGCAATAAAAGTAATCTGTAATACAATGTTAAAAGCTAAGTAAATTAGGAGTTGGCGAATTTTTTAATCCATGTAATAATTTCATGATCTCCCTATCAAATTCTAGAGGTCGCCATTCATAATTAACTACAGCTGGTATTTTGAGCAATTTTGCGACAAGGTACCGACGAAGAAAATACGATAACAAAAGTTTACACTAGCGAGGCGATAGAAGTATGGACATTTCGGTCAGCAGGAGCATTGAGAGGGAAAATCTCCTTCAATACTCAAAAGGTACCATTATTTCGTTTACAATATCATTTCGTTTACATTGCTAGACTGACGAAAAAATATTTTGGAATCAATAAAATATCTATATTTAAAACATAAATACATTTGATAAGGATACAACGAAGTACGGGAAAACACATTATTATTTAATAATATAAAATAAACGAAGCATTACTATTAACGATCATATTTTTCTATTTTACGCTCGTTTATGTACCTGCAATCCGACTAATGGCATAGTACCTGCAATCCAAGTAATGGCAAAGTAAAATACTTATTATATTGCTGTTGAATAAAGCTATTTATTTGTTTATTTTACAGCTTCATTTCGCATATGTTTTCAACGTAAAATACAATAGTTAGCTAACATGCGTATGCATTTGCCAAAAAACTCACAACCTTTAGCGAAATGTAACAATGTTTACGCACACATTACATTTGACAAGTATAATATGTATCACATAATTTAGTTTCGTGAGGTGTGATAGAGGATTTGTTTAATTTCTAATATAGAGGCACTAATATATATCTTGAATTCCTTTTTCCGAAAAGTATTAATGTATGATTCAAACTAGATTCTTTGATTAGATTACTTTCTGAATACGTCTGATGAGCAGTTAACTCCAAGATTAGATTTTCATAGTAATATAATGTACACTTATACATTAATATCGTGTAAAATATATTAAACTGAAAACTGTCTGTACACTTATTTACAACTCGGAGTTCTTCATATTAACATAATTGTATTCTACAGTCCGTATGCTCTAGAACCACTTCCAAAGTTGTACCACTGAGCATGCGCACCTCTGCCGAAGTTGTATTCGGGTATCTAGGAAGATAAATAACAATCAGTTAATGCTGAATACAGACAAAGGTTAATATAACGAGATAAATGAGCCAAAACACTCCAAATACACATTAACATTTTGCGTGTACAATGTTTTGTTTTGTTTCTGATAAATCATTTTCCGATTGAAGATGTGATCAAACATTTACAATAGACGTACTTCCCTGGCGAAAATACGCTTCAATTATTGCTCTGCCTTAACGTGCTATACAGAGTTCCAATAACGTTACTAAATAAAGGTTTTTGTACAATTCAAACACAGAAAATAATGGCATACTCGAACGTTTTTTTAAAGGGAATATACATCATTTGCTTTTGCTGTAATTTTCAGATATGGATGGAATTGGGGGATTGGAAATATAAAGCAAATATAGTTACACTGACTTTTTGGAGGTTTTGGGTTTGAAAATGCTACTAAAACCAAGAAAAACGATTATTTTCCTGTAGTCTGGTTCCCTGACTCCATATAAGAAGAAACAGAGCAGTTAACATACATTGGGGAATTGTACGGTCAGGGAACCAGTCTAGCTGGCTCGTACCCGTTCATGGGTTTGTAATCGATTGCAAACAAGTGCAATGGTCAATTGGGGCCAGTATTTGAAAAAAAGCCAGTTGTTTCCAACGCTGATCGGCCGATCAGCGTTGGAAATTGATACAAAAATACCACTTTTCTTGAAAATGACAGTATACCAGGTGCCATAATTTTACAGGATGCTTTAGACTGTCATTTACCAACATCCTATTAAGGTATTTCGCAAAAACTTGGTAGTTTTATTTTTCGATGTTTGCAAATGTTGTATATTCCCTTTAACACACCTTCATTTCATTCTGATTAACAAAACACATCGAAAGTATTTTGGTAATACTTGGAAACGTGAAACAATTGGTTTTACAAAAGATTGCACAGATTAGAGTACTAATGACTTTACTGTTATTGAGACACCCATTGTAACACTCCAAAAAAAAAAACTGAGGAAAATCTTAAACTTCTGTATATTATCCAAGGTTAATTACTTACTTAATGATACAGCACGTATGTGTCAGCCCCATAGACCGTGCGTGCATTTAGTTGTCTTCTCACGCATGCGCAATAGTTTCCACCGCGTCGTCGGCTTGCAAACAGCGGTAGCAGCCGACGCACTGAACGATTGTCTGGTTTTCATGTCTTAAAATGTATCCTTCTCAAACGTACTTAAAAGATGATTCAAACCAAAAATTATCAGGAGACCAAGTGAACAAAGATATAAATTGTCACTACAGTGTGGTAACGGCGCTACAAATTTTTCAAATATATTTAAAAAAAAAAAAGCAATAATTATGGACAAAAAAACGTGAATGACTTTGATTGCCTTAAATTCCTTCTACACGTGGAAAGAAAAAATATATCAAAGTACTTCGATCGTGATGTTGACCGATACTTTAGTGGGTCAAACTGCGACTGCAGGCATCCATGTTTGCTGATTATCAGTATTTCATATTTCGAGTGCGCATGCGCGCAAACTAAATGAGCGGCTGAAACATACGTGACAGGTCTTCATCACTAGATACGGCATAAGGTCTCAAAAATACACTGCCTGGGTCAGGAAAAAATCGCTGGAATAAGGAAAAAAATAAGAAAGAACATGGAATGTAGCTAATCAAAAAATTCCATCTTATA